AGAAACAACCCCTTCGGCGACTGGAATTGCAATGACGGTGTTTGGAAAATATTTCGCCCCTATGCGATACTGCTGACGTTTGGCTACAGTGCTGCTGCGCTTTGGGTTGGCCGGATAGATTGCAGCTTGTTTTTGGGAAGCTTTAAACGAAAATGCAGAATTCTGAATAATTTTTTCAGCGTATCTTTTTGTGTTTGGAAATACGTAACGTTCTCGTACGCCTAAGCAAATGACGGTTTTTTTTAAGGAAAACGCGGATGAAGAAACCCGTCGCCGAATCATGATTGGATTCACGAAATGGGTTGGTTTTTCGCCGGTCTCTTGATTTTTTTTGCCGGCATAGTTGTTTCAGTTATAATGAGAATTAATTTTGATCTACAGGGTGTCCCAAAAAAAAAACCCCCTCTAACTCGACGCAGAAGTATCGGATCGTAATGATAGTCACACTATTCGAAAGCCCTTGAAACGGCGAGTTTGCAACAGTTTTCAGAACCATGTTTTTATTTTTGCAACTTTTTAACCCACGATTTTAAAAGCCATTTTGTAAAATTTGGCCGCTTTCCGGGGCTGCATACGAGCTAATTGCCTAAAATTCTCCATGCCAAATGACCGGAAGTAGCCGTTTATAGACTCAGAGTAGGTTCCTTAATGTTTTTAAATGCGGGGTAAAACCTAGGGTTCAGATAAAAAAAATGGTTTTGAAAATTGTGGCAAAAAGGTCGTTTCAAGGGCTTTCGATAGGTATAACCATCATTACGATCCGATACTTCCTACATCGCTTTAGGAGGGGTGTTTTTTATTGAGACACCCTTTATATTTCAGTTCACAATCGCATGCTTCTGCCCGGTGGTAGCCCTGATGGTTGAGATGGTCTGGGGTTTTCGGCTTGTCTGGATCGATTCGCTTACACAGGCAGCTCTACAAATTTATCTCGCTCACGGCCGTGAAAGATATGTCAAATTTGGCATGCAGGTAATCGTGTTTTAGAAAGTTCGGGTTTTGGTGCCATTCTACTAATTGATTTTTAGTGTCTGCCTGATCGCCGCCGTGTGGAGCTCCGAGATATGAGCTTATCAAGCTTAAAGAGCTACTCTAGCTAGATATTGGATTGTTCCTAATTTTATTCGATAAATGCTAGTGCAACTTTCAACTACATCTTCAATCCTGAGAAAGACGTTCCCGAAAAGCACCTACCCCTGGAAAACCTCATACGTCGATGGAATCCCCAGGAATCGCGCTCCAGAAGCCTCTCCAGTTCTTTGAATGTTTCACCCTTCCCCGCTTGCAGAAATATGGATCATCAATGTTTTCTATTTCTTTTGGATTTTTGGGGTATTCACGTTCAGTATCACTGTATATTTTATTACGAAAGGAAAAGCACTGACGTGGGAGTATAAGGATGCTCAATTGAGTTTACTGGTGAGTCACCATTCTACGTGGCGTTCTGGCCTTAAAATTTGAGCCAGATGTACGCTATCGAGTTTTTTGTCTATTAAAGGAATGGGCAAGGCATGAGTATAAATTTTGGCGGACCTGAACTGGGCGTGAAATTTCATTGAGTAATGAATTTTCAGAAGTAGAATTGTCAGAAGTAGATGACCTAAACGAGGTTGAAACGTTTTAAAGTACACCAACCCCAACAAGGAAAAGCTGAAAGTCGTTGAGTGGAAATATGGTCCATCGACAGGGATAGGCGATCCAGCGCCAATGATTAGTAAAAAGGTAAAAATTTACATTTTTTTCAGAACTGTAATATTCAACCGGCAGTCTGCGGTATACCTGGGGTTCGTATGTTTCAGCACCTTGAGAAAATTATGGATTATTTCCGCGTTATTACGTTAATTGCCGGGTTGCCAATCATTATATACAGTAGCGGTCAAAAAGATGTCCCCTCGGGAAATCCTTTGGTGCTCTTAAACCACAGGCCCAAATTTTATGAAACTTTGCCATTAGGTCAATTTTGATACGGAGAATCCGATGGTGAACTTGAAATCGGCTGAAAATTTCATTTTAGTGATCAAACTTTAATTTTTAAAAAATCGCTAAAACGAACTTTTTCCTGAGGGATTTTCGGGTTTCAAAAATGTGTCCATCGTGTTCGCAAGGGTCGAAAACCTGTCTCGAACATGTTTTAAAACATTTATCTCTTTGAGGTTCGCTATCATGAGGCCGAGAAGTTGTCGCCGCGGGGCGCTTTCCTGGCCCCCGTAAGCGTTTCCAAAGGATTTTGGTCCGCGCGACAGCAACTTTTGGCCGTCAGTATGGTCAGGCCCCGGTAGAAAAACTGTCGTAAAATAACGGACTAGTGGTTTTCGAACCTTGCGAACACGATGGACACATTTTTTGAAACCCGAAAATCCCCCATGAAAAAGTTGATTTTTAGAGATTTTTTGAAATCGAATTTTGACCATTAAAATCAAATTTTCAATTAATTTCAATGTTGCCTTCGAATTCTCCGCTGTCGAATTGACCTAGACACGACGTTTCATAAAATTTGGGCCTGTAGTTTACGAGCACCAAGCGATCTCCCGAGGGGACATCTTTTTGACCGCTACTGTACCTCTATGTGTGCTACCTAAACATTAATGACTACTTTAACAGCAAAGGAAACCAGACGCTGAGCAAGCGAACCCATCAGATGTATCGATATTTTTTGCTTTATATTTCTACTACAGGTATTCGCTCTCTCTCTCTCTCTCTCTATCTCGATATGAAAAACGTTTCTGCAGTCCTTCACGGCATTTATATTCTTGCTATCCCCATTTATCTTTTTCCTATTGGTATTTTTGGACTACACCCAGCTGGAGGTGCTATATTGGAGTAAGTTTTCCGAGCCTTAAGAAACTTTCCATATCTAGTGGTCGGCCTTATATGCATTTGGAATGGTCTTCATAGCCTGGGCAATAATTTGGCAATATTACTGGCTACAAAAGCGTACAGGAGCGCGTTGTATCATTGGTGTAAGACAATAGCTTGGGTGGGTATTTATCGTTAAAGGGACGGGCAAGGTATACCTCGGGATCGGGATTGGGTTTTTATGGCTTGTACTTGACGGGCAACACGTAGCGCGCCTAGCTTGTGAGTGTAAGACGATTATAAACCCTACGCAATTTACATACCTTTGCTATATGTAGCTGCGTAACCGCGGTTTTTCCAGAATCTAAGTCTGCACCGGCATCACAACGTTGGTTCTGCCTTAAATACTAGTATCCAACAGCAACCTCACTTCATTGGAACACCAAAGCAATCAAGTCATGCGACTCGCGGAACTGTTCATTAAAGTACGATGATAAAATAGCATTCTTTAGGGCGTGCGAAAATCCATTAGTTCAAGCCAATTTTTGCGATTTTGGCGGAAAACTGCGATTTTCCTTTATCGAACACCGGGCAAATTGGGCATTTGGACAAAACCTGTTCTAGTTTCCGGTGCCTTCAAAATTTTCCAAACGGCCATTTTTATTAGCTGCCGTTGGAAAAAATTTGATTTTATTACGATGCCACAAATCACAACAAAAATGAACATAAATAAAACTACCTTAAAAGAATAAATGAAAAAAATTACCTTCGACTGCTGACCGTCCGGCAGATGCAAATTCTTGACAGCTAGACTGCACCCAACGCGTCTGGAATCGTCAGTTGCTCGCTTCTTCCTTCTGTCACAAGGACCTAAAAACTCCCCTACAAGCTTTCAAAAATACTTACCTTCCGGGGCGCCGTGCGTTTTCTTACCATTGTCATAGTCAACACCTTTGGCATACATGTGATCTGAATTAAAGGGTGTGAAAGGAAGCGACGATGACGACGTGCGCGAAATTACACTACAGAGTGTTCCAAAAGTTCTGACAAATTCTCGGGGAAAAGAGTCTCGGTGAGGCCTAGGATAATGACGAAACTTTTACATGTCGTTGATAACGGGGCATGAATGCCGCGCCCAAAAACGGGCTTGAGGAAACCACTTTCCGAGCTTATCACAGGCCAAACTTGCTTCGAGCCAAAATGACTCCGGCACGCAGCAGGGCTGCCGCAAGGATTACCCGTACTTTCTAGGGGAATAACCGTTTTGCTAGAAAATAAGTAAAGTAAGATTCATTTTTAATTCCGCAGGCTAAAGAGGCGCTGTTTTTAAAAACAGGTTTAATAATGGTTGGTAACATATGAGTACTACTCTACACAAGACGCGGGAATTGCAGTGATTCTTTCTAGATAATTTTTGCCAAAACTTTTGGAACACCCGGTAGAACCTCAAGTAGTTTCCTTGTGAGTTCGAAGCCCTTTAAAGATAATAGAAAAAATTGGAAACGCCCCTGGATGGAATGCGGTTGGCAACTGCTTCAGCCGTTGTGGTATGCTGATTCGGCGACCTCGGAACCTGTCCACTAAAGAACTTTGGACTCGAATGTTGCGGCGCCCACATCTTTCGCGAACATCCGATGAAGCACTGTCGAAAATCCGGCGTATCTTAAGAAAAAAAATAAAGTCTATTTGAGCATCAAATACCGCCTCCGAATCATGTCCGTCCATACGGAGCTGCCGGTATTTGTTACCGCGCTGGAATTCGTCAAAATCCATAATTTCGTCGTGTCTATCTAAAACGAAAAAATTGCCTACGGTACCCCCGGTTAAATTTAACTATATTTCAAAGAGAAAACTATTTCAAAAATGTGAAAGATTTTGACTGCAAATCTTCGTCGAAAATCAAGAATTCACTAGAAAAAGCGCTAACTTTGTATGTTTTTTACCAAGCATTTCTAAACTTGCTCAGCGTCGGCTAGTCAAAAAAAAATTTTAGAAACATCGCACCCATTTAAATTGGAAGATCGTACGCAAAAGAAAAAAATATTTGTCTGCTCCCCCGGTAATGCAAAAGCACCCAAAAGCACGACATTAATTTTAACTTTACCCAATTGCTGCCGCAACGTCCTCAGATAGCCCCAGTCATTTTTGTTGAACGCAGGGTTGACGGCTGGAGAAACAGTTTTACTATTCGGGAAAAAGACTCAACGAGCTTGAGCCTCAAACTGTTCCGGTGTCAGCTTCTTCTCTCTTCGACGGACGGCTGTCACTGGGTAATCATCTCAAAACTTAAATTTTTGACAAAAACAAAGAATCCCACGCTCCAGCATCGGCTTTTGCTTGGCGATGCGTGTTCTTTTCGGGGGCGGATTGTGGATATCTAAAGTTTATTAAATGCGTTCTAAAGGTGCGAACGATGCCTATGGTTTTTTAAGAATAGCCACGCTATGGATGAATCAATTCAAATTAATCCCGCGCTTCCAAGTGGATAATCAATTACTCACTAGAAAATTCAAAGTTTTCTCTCCATTATCCAGATCGGGATCCTGCCTAATCCCGTATTTTCGCTGCTTTCTCTTCTCCAAGTCTCGGTACGTGCTGTAGGTAATGTTTTAGGAAAATTGCATCGTCGTTACCGCCTCTCCCGGTCGTAATAGATGTCGATCAGGTTTTCCATCTAATCATTTGCCAAATCAAAGTATTTATTTTTAGGATTACACATAATTACTGTAGAAAAATGCCAAGTAGCTTCTTACATCTCCTCCGTTCGCATCTCCGTTCGCGTTCTTTTGATGGCAGTGGGTCGACGAAGCGAACTGCAGGTGAATCAAAAACTAGTTTTCTCCGACAAACCCTCCGAATCCGGTGTACCCGGTCTTGATTTTACAGACTCGTCCACCCAAGGGTTATCGGGGTCAAAGGAAGCTAAAAACGTATCCAGTAAGGTGCAAAATGTCATAAGTACAATGCTAGTCCGGTCTGGGAAGCCATGGGTCATCCATGGGTAGGTTGTCGAGGTCGGCAATTCGGTGGGAATCTTCTGAATGCAAAAACTTTTCGAGTTTTGTCTAGTTTTTTAGCGGTAGCTTAGGGCGGAACCTTAATTAATCCATTTTGCAAAAAGCCAAAAATGTGCAGGGCCAATTTAAGCTAATTCGGCCTGTCGGAATTCCGGCATTTTCCCCATTTAATGCCCCCCATTTTTTGAATGTAATGCGGCACCTGGAACATTCGACTCCATCCCAATTTCCAATTCTGCTGATCCGGGTCGTGACCAATCATTGGAAGTACCTGTTTTAAATTCAAGAGCTATGACTTTTATTATTACAGTTTTATTACCGAAAAATTACTGCTTTTTGAATATCGTAACTTTTGTAATAGCAACGCCTTCTTGAACGAAATCACACGACTTCGCTCAATTAAATGAATTCAAGTCTACCCTGCCAATCCCGGCCCGGACTGCCAACTCGCCATGGGGCGTGGTGAAAGTAATGAGCATAAATTGATAGAAACAACTTTAGAAATACTATCAGATGCATCATAGTTGATGTGTTATAGGTTGCCCGTGACCGGTCCGTTTCTACAGGTGGACCGACAGAATTAAACTGAGCAGTCTGCTCAGATTCGGGGGTATCTTCGGAATAACAAGTGGCTATTCTGTCTACGCTACTTCTTAAACGCCCCGGTTATTTTTAAATTCACGATAATTTCCGAGCACTTTTATTGTATCTGAAACCCCTCAAAAAATACCGAAATGTCGACAGAGGCTTATACTTAAACAGCTGCTTTGGGTGTCCCTTTAAAAATATTTTAAGAAAGCTTGCTGCTAAATCAGGTCTTAGGCGTTATAAACTGACCTGTACAAATTATCCCGTTCCTCCTTTTCGCTTTTCCTGATAATACGTATTCGGTATTCCCAAACTGAACTCTCCCGTATCACTAACGAAATGAGCGCCCAGGTGTCGCCATTCCCTTACTCATCAATCGTGACACAATTCGCTTTTCTCCAATTAGAAATGGGCGCCGGTAATTCGACCGAGGTAGTTTACTTACGGGATTTTTTGCTTTGTCATTTTGGCTAGAAATTGCAACAAGACATGCTTTTCTAGACACCCATCGTCGAGTCAGGCTACGGCGGCAGGTATTGGGAAAGGGACTACGACACTTTATCCAAAAAGTATTGGGATGCCCTGGAACAATTGGTAATATTTTTAATTTTAATTCTCTTTATTATCAATATTTTCTGTTCTATAACTCTAAATAAATAAAATAATGACTAGATAATTCTGTTCAAATTCTCAAACAACTCTCTTTATTTAATAAATTATTGATTTTGCTTCTAGAAAATGGAATGCATTTTTGCATGTTGCAAGTATATATAAAGTATGCTCAGCATACCTTACCCGCTCATAAAAAAGGCCTAATTTCTTGAAAAGACGTTTCTTATGAAAATCAGTTTTTGTGAAAAACGTTTTTCTTTTTTCAAGCTGGACCACATTTGAGGATCTTTTGTCCTGAAAAAAAAGCAACTTAGGACCGATAATTCCGTTGACGCCAACAGCTTAATTAAATTTATAGCAAATTCTAAATATTCAACTGGGCGCACTCAGAACCGAGCTTCGCAATCTAAAGGCCGAGCAGGTCAGTGTGATTTTTTTTATATAAGCTTCTCAGGCCGCTTCGGCAGCGGACACGGTACCATTGAAGGACTGGAACCGGGTAGGAGTTGTTTAGAAAAACCTATTTTTAAATCAGCTTGTCGCGGATTACGACAAACTCGACGAAAAATTGGAGCTTCAGAAAAAGTCAACGGTACGCAAGCCGAGCTTCGTAGAGCTTAAAGCTTACCAATTATTGTGTGTCATTTTTGTCATTTTTTCTCTTATTACTTCCGGGTTACCCCTAAAAGCGCCTAATTCATGATGTCGAAATTTCATATTTTCGACGGTCAGATTGTAAATGCCTACTTCATAATGTCGAAATTAGGCCGGACTTTCATAATGTCGAAAGTTCAGTGCGAAATTTTCTTAAGCAAAAATCTCACCCAAACACCCAAAAAAAAATATATAAAAATTTCGCCAAATTGCAATTTCGACATTATCAAATTTCGACACTGCGAAATTTTGGCATTTTCATAGCAAATCATCAATTCCAGTCCGGTTCCCACCTCAGATGGAACCAAGAAAAGCAAGCCCATCTGGAGAAGGTCAACCTCATTTTCCAAAGTATTCTCTGATATCCCGGCTTTAGATGAGACAATTAAATGCAGATCTATTTACGCTTCGCGAAGTCGAGATTCCACATTTGAAAAGACTCCAGGTCACGTGAAGTTCTAACTGCCTTATGTGAATCTTTAGGCCCAGAAAAGCCAACGCAGCATCCAGGAAAAAGAATTATTGACCTCAGAGGTAAGTCGTGCTCCAAAAATTACAACAAGTTATTTTGGATCCAAAAATACAAAGCCCTGGCCGCCGGCGAAAAGCAGCAACGTGGAAAATTAGAGGCGGAAATGAAAAAATTATCTGAGAAAGTGGTCATCTACCAGGTTTGTTGGAATTTATAATTTTGATACATTTGTATTTTTAGTATAACCGAACGAAAATTGTTATCGAAAACATCCCCTTTGATTACTCACAAGAAGAGGTGATCGACAAGTTTTTGGGAAAAGGACAACACTTGATATATTGGGATGATAAGTATGGAAATTGTTCAGATTTCTGAAGGTATCTTAGCCCGGACATGATGTTGCGACTTCACGATGACGACAGCCAGCGATGCATTGCATATTTGGAAAACGTGCAAGCTGCTGAAGAGGTATGTCATCTAGATCCTATTTTAAGACGCCGTTAAGATTTTTCAAAAGTGGAACGGTGTCGTGGGGCAAGGGCGGAAGGTTACGGTCTCTTATTCGGCGTGCACCAAGAAACCGGCAGAAGTGGTTTGCGGGGAAAGTAATGTACGATATTTCTCGAAAAATTATATTTTTTGAAAGCAATATTTTCTAAAAATTTTCGTTTCAATTTCTGCCCCACTGGCCTTTTCTTGTTCATAACCAGATGCAATTTTTTCGAAAACGTGATTTTTCAACACTGATTTCTCGAAAATTTATATATATGATTTCCAAATATGTGATTTATGGTTGGGTGCTCTCAGAACAGATCACGCATCCCTATCAATTTCTCATTGTACAGGAACCCAAGAAAACCGAGAGCAGCCTGCCAAAGCCCTTCGAGACCAAGCCAACGAAGCCACAAGGTGTCGCCCAGCCGATGACACAGACTATCGCGACATCAGGACCTAGCAAAATTGTAGGTCCTAGCTATTGTGCCAAAATGTGGCATTTTAGAAAGCTTCCGAGCTCGGCCTGCCAGATCCTTATAAAGACCCCAAGGTAGGAGACCGTTTCCAACCTTGACTCGTTCCCAGGGCACAAACCGGCGAATTATTTGCGTAAGCTGGTTGCCCGAGAACGTCACCGATGCCACATTGCTGCTATTCCTTCCAAGTTCTGAGCCAGGATATGAGATGAAGAACGGGAGGTATTGGCTGGGATTCTTAATTTATACAACGGCTCTACCGGGTGTCCCAATAAAAAACACCCCCTCTAACGCGAAGGGGGAAGTACCTGATCGGAATGGTAGCCCCACCATTCGAAAGCCCTTGAAACGGCCAGTTTGCAATATTCTTCAAAACCACGTTTTTTATTTAAACCCGCGATTTTACAAGGGATTTTGTAAAACTTTGCTGTTATTCGGGGCGTCATATGGGCTAATTCAAACTCCATTTTTCAAACCAAAATTACCGGAAATTGCCGTTATTTAGGTGCCGAAGCCGTTCATAAAGTTTCTTAATTTTTATAAAATTGTATGTTTACATAAAAACACAGTTTTGAAGACAAGTTGCAAACCCGCCGTTTCAAGGGCTTTTGAATGGTGTAACTACCATTCCGATTCGGAACTTCTGCATCGTGTTAGAGGGGGTGTTTTTATTAGGATACCCTGTATATGACGTGGAACTACAATTTTCAGACCTCACACCGAGCGGCTGCGTACAGACAAGGGCATAATTGGCTTCATCTTTTTCGAAACGGTCGGAAAAGCGCAAGCAGTAGGGTTGAACCCTCACATCCTTCAGGCCCATTTTTTAGTGCATGAGAATGTTCAGCAAGTACCGGCCTCCAGGCCTGCCCTATGGTTTCAGCTACTATGGCAATGCCGCGCACATCAACACGTTGTTGCACAAACACTTGAGCTTTTGAAGGTGCTTATCGAGATCCGGTCCTTTTTTTTAAATGAAATACATATTAATGCATATGATTTCAAAAGTAAAAATTGCAAATGTTTTCTCAAAACAACAGCTCGTTTTCAGTATACTTGGGCGGAGCTCCACATGGTGGAAGAAGTGGCTTTTCCTCTTCTTCCTAAAAACTGAATATTTGACGTTCTGAGGGTGTCTTCTGAATTCATCAATGCTGAACTGCTTCCGCTTCCGAACTCCCAAAACCCTAAAAATTCACACCTGATTCTCCACTCGTCTCCAGGCTTTCCTCGCCAAAACTGCCATCACCCCCGAAAATACGGCCATTCCAAAATAGTATTGTGGCAGGTGGCCGTTGAACATCAACGGCGTGATGGTATTGAAAAAGGCGAGCAGAATGGCTGCGCTCAATAAGCATAGCTAAATTCCTTACTAATCCTGGTTGTTGAAACTTTTCTCTACCTGCGTCGTAACCACCAGGTACTCCTTTGGGAAAATATCTGTAGCGACCACGTAGCAGAACATTGTCAAACCTGTGGACTCGACGATACGGCCGAGTATTGTATTAACATAACCTAATTAAAGTCCTATAGTTTTTAATTTAACGTATGACTTACAAAGCGCATCGAGTTGCAGCATTGAATTAAGCATATGGACTATAGCCTTGAGGGCGAAGAATGGCATGATATAAAATGGGACTTGGTCTCTATCGATTTTGTTTACAGGGTGTCTCAGGATTATCCGGACAAACTCTCAATGCCATTTCTTCCTATTTTTTTCCTGTTTTATGCGCACATCTTGTAGCTCCTATCAATCTTTGAGGTATTTTTGAGGCACTGGCAAAGAAAATTTCGCGAGGCTATGACATATCGCTTCGTAAAAAATCGAAGAAGTTTGAACGTAATTTCTCCCATCTGGCAAAGCCTCAAAACGCATGCTGTTTCCGACGCTATAAAAATCTTCAATATAACCGGCATAACAAAGAAACCACAAAAAGAGATCGGAAATAATAAGTCCATGCTCAGCCCGGCCCAAAAACGCCAGGTTTACTCTAGGAAAAAATCAGCAAGCCAAAAAGATGAAATCAAGTCACGCGCCGCCGTATTTACCTTGCAAGTTTTAGCCCGGAGGAACTCTAAAAATCCGATAAGATACTTTTCAAAAGATAAAAACCTAAATAGCTACAGTAACAATGATGTACAAGCAATTTAGACCAAGTTAGCTTTGATTTCTGAGGAGCTTGAGCACGAGCAAGCTTCAAAACACCCTTATCAGCAATGCTAAGGAAATTGATATTAAATTAGAAAATAATCATTGACATGACCAAACCTTGCCGCAAACACGTCCGTTTTGCCAGAAGACGTCATATCTTGCCCAGAAAAATATCGGAACACTTTTTGAATCTTTGCCCCAAGTTTCGTGGTATTTAAGAGATGAAAAATCTTACCGCGTTCTACGCTTGATTCTGAAGCTATTATAATGTCTTCGAAAAGATTTTTTTGCTCAGAACATTGAAAACGCCTCAAAAACTCATATGAAAAACATTAGGTACGAAGCAAACAGCGTTAAAGGCTAAAAAATGACTTTTTCGTTTTGTCCGGATAATCCTGAGACACCCTGTAGAATCATAGGGCCTAGCCATCGGAAGGGAATTAGCAAGATGAAGATGATCATCACCATCGTCAAGATCTGTAAAATGTGATACTCACTAAATTAACGACAATTAAACAAAATACTATGAAAATATTTATGTTATAAAACATACCCGATTCGTCTCCATGCCCTCATCTTGATAAACAGGAAATCGAAACTGATTCTCGATCATGTTGATGTTCATCGTACAAAACGCCTCCAAGCAAATGATCAGCATCAGTTTCTAAGAAAAACACGTTACCTAGTACAAAAAAAAAATGTAACCATACCTTTAATAGCCCATCTCTAGGCTCAAATACTCTCGAGACTTTCTCAATATGCTTCTCGTAAAAGCTTGAAATCGTCATTCCGTCTTCCTCCTTTAATCGAAAAGCTTTATCCGGTAAGCTGTGTCCGATTAATGGAGTGAGTAGGTTGACGAGCTGAACAAGTTTAGGAAAAATTAACCTAGATAAAGCTGTTTTACCTGCGCTAAGAGCGGGATGTATATCCATTTTTCTGGCGTTCCCCAGACATCTTCTCTAGCTAACCAAGTGACGATTTGAGCAAAGACTTGGACGGAGGATAGAGAAAGCATCGTGAAGGTTCCTGGAATGTTGGTTACGATTTCTCTCTGTCTTTCTCTCTCTCTCTCTCTCTCTCTCTCTCTCTCTTGCGCTCTCTCTCTCTTTCTCCCTCTCTCCTCTCTCTCTCTCGATCTCTCTCTCTCTCTCTGTCTCTGGCTCTTGCTCTCCGTCTCTCTCCCATTCTCCCTCTCTCACCTTTATGCTCCGGCGGTGCCATTTCACACAAAAATATGACATCTCCAAGCCCATAAATAGCATATGTCGCCGCGATCAGGGCAGCGCCGATAAGGTAAAATAGCCCGTTCTGCGTTGACCAGGCCAAGAGGTAGAAAATCGTACCGAGAGACGCCAAGCCGAACCTGAACCCGGGTTTTAAAGATTTTTCAAATTTTCTGTAGGCAAAGGAATTATAAAATCACATACTTGACATAAACGCAAATAGCTCTTCTTCCCAAATAATCCATCAACGGCAGTAGGACAATAATGGAAAAGCCCTGGCCGGCAAACAACGTCCAACTTGAAGCGGAAAGCATTAGAATACCCCTGAATCAAGCATTTTTTAAGTTAAAACGTAGCTGACCCGTCGTTAATCCCAAACAATTCGCTACTGGTTTGATTGAAGAGGATCATAAGAGGAGGGTTAATCAAGGCGCCTAGCTGCAAAAAATATACAGTTAAAAATAAATAAATAACCTCGAGAATGTACAAAAATTTGCGAAATTACAAAATAAAAAAAATAAAATTACCTGATACATTGCTACCGTAGCACCACACGAAAAACCGTAAAGCATGCATTTTAGGAGAAAGAGCTTTGGGATACCGTTTTTAGGCAGATCTGAAAAATTTATAAGAACCGTTACTTTACCTACCTTGTTTAGCCGAGACCTCTTTGGAAGATTGAAAGTTGAGATCCATATTGAGATCGGAGTAGGCTAAGCTTGGGCTTAGTCTTGGGCTTACTAGGCTAATGCTTAGCTTAGCTTAGGCCTAACTTAAGCTTAGCTTAGGAAAGGACGCTTCAAGGAAAGGTTTCTGAAGAACGGAAGCGAATATGAGAAAACTTTTCAGGAAGCGGACTCGACTTGTGCAAAGCCTCCGTGACCCAGCCTAGTCAGACGCGCGATAATTTTGTTGCATGCACTTCCCAGCTTACGTACCGACAGCTTTTTGCCCGATTTCGTATACGAAGCACCACTCAGCAGTCCTTATCAATGTATACATAGCAGCCTCACTGCAAATTATCGCAAGTTTCAGGGCTTTTTTAAGCGGGTGCCATAACGTGAGTAACGGCATTATTTCAGGTTTTGATAACGGAGCGAATCGTACAGTCGCGTGTGTACAGGGTTGTATCACGCAACATTTCCTTTCGAAAGTGCGGGATTTTGAAACGGTGTTCGTGCGGTAATATTTTGAAATTCAACAAGTTACCCACTCGGGCATAGTTTGTATGCAATATTTGTATGCGTACATTATAAAGATTTACGCTGAAAAGAAAGCGAAATTATCATGATTATTTTGATTGTATTCTTCTTAAGAACATTTTTAGCGGCAAGTCACAGCAATAAACTCTTTGTCGTGTACCCGCGAGCTTTGGCAGGCACAGAAGTGAGCAGCGGTTCTTTTCGGGCTCCTGAATTTATACTATTTTTCTAAGATTTCCAGTTTGCAGGTTATTTTTTGAGAAAAAGCCCACTTCTATCCCCCCTCAATCCCCATTTTCTTGACATCAATTGCCATCGAGTGGAGAATGAGATGACTGCCAGGAAATAATATGGCAAACACCTACCTTTCCCCACCTGTAGTTACAAGGCATGCGATTTCGTAAGCGATTACGGTTGAGGTGGCTTTTGACGTCGCAATTTGATTTCGTAACCCTTTTCAAGTGTCAACTCGCTTTGCGTAACCTCGCACGTAACCGTAACCGTAACGTAAATGCGTAACCTTGCCGTACCCTGCCTTACCCGTCCCTTTAAAAAATGCTCTTACTTGGCTTCAAATTTAAAGTTTTAGAATATTGACGGTCCCTGTAGCCCTGCTGGAATTTGAGGTCCATTTTCCGCAAATTTAGGAAAAATCAGAAACGAAACAAAATCCCCGTTCAGATTTAAAAGAAAAACGAAAATTCGGAAAAGCGTTTGGCCACTTATAATGCTACTCTCTGCCCCCTCTTCACAGCGGCCCGGCTCCTAATAAAACGTCCGGTAGCTTTGGAAAGGAAAGAAGACCGCAACGCGTGCGATAGACCGCGTCGCGCAATTGCTTCAGCAGGTCTGCGCAGCTAAAAAACGAGATTTTATTACACGCGCACCCGCCGCCATAGCAAGTACCGTACGCCCTTTCCCTTGAACCATCCCGACCGAACCCATGGGCGGTTGTGTCTTTGCTATAGCTGCAAATAGGCGATAACTTTTTTTGGCTCTCACTTCTGCACGAAAACCGCGGCACCGCCACTCCCACGGCGGGTTTCGTGAGAGGAAGTACCGATCATTGACCGCTTTATCAGTCTACAAGCGGTCATTCTCACAGCCAGGAAATGCCTGTCAATCCCCCCCCAAATTGTACTAATGAGCCGGGATACAGGGGAGAGGAAAACTAGTGGAGGAACTGTGATAAGCGGCGTTTGCAAAAATGGACAAAAATGGGCGTAGTGTTCCTGGGAACAAGAATAAATTTTTACTTTTCACGCCCGATCAGCTGTCTTTAATTTATTATTTACAATACAACTTATTATATTTACATCAATAAAGTGCTTTTTGTATACTCTGAAACCCCAATAGTTTTCACAAGCAGCGGTTTGACTCTCGGAGCTCTGTAAATTGTTATAGAAAAATTGCGTGACAGGAATCTACCTCTTCTTCCGCCCTATCCCATAGCCTTCTTACAACCACCGCCAACAATCCCGAAAATGCGGTGACAACCAGAAAATAATAAGGCAAAGCGCCGCCGAAAGTTAGGGGAGTGATCGAGCTGAAGATGGCGGTCAACGTGGAGGTGTTCACTAGGCAGAGCTGGAAAAGTAGAATTTACTAAACTCAGTTCGCCAACCTGTGTGGCCAGAACCAAATATTTTTGCGGAAAAAGATCCGTTGCAACTACGTAGCTGGGCATAGCCATTCAGGACTTTCCGCGAAACGTGCCAAGAATACATTTAGATAACCTAAAAAGTCGTACTGAAAAGCGAAAAACACCCCCACATAGCGCTTCCAGCTGCAGCCAGCTGTTGACGATGTGCAGGAACACTTTTGTAGCATAGAACGGTAAAGATGCTAGTAAGGGCTGGGAAAAGAAGTCGATCAATTTTGTTCAAAACGACGGGCCCGACGAGGTTAATTGGGGTAAGTATGATGAAGACAATCATTACCATCGATAGAACCTCAAAAAAAGTAGATTTTTTTGGGTCCGATGCATAAACCTAAGCCTAGCCTAACCTAAGCCCAACTCAAATTCATACCTGATTTGCAGCCATCCCCTCCGCGCCAAAAACAGGAATTGGGAAATACATCTCAATCACTTGGATATTGACCATCGCAAACGCATCCAGGCAAAGCAGCAGCAGAAGCTTCTTAAAAAAACACATATATAGTTTACAAAAACCGCACCAAAACTAAATTGTCTCGTTTCGTAAAGATCTCAGGGACCTTTTGAAAATGCCGGGCATAAAATGTTGAGAGTGACATTTCTCCTAAAATATCGTTACCTAAATTCTTCGACCAACTTTTTAAGCGTGGACTTTCATCGGGGAGGTTGTAAGCAACAACTGGGCCAAGTAAAGTTGCTAGCTATAAATGTAGATTAAGAAGATATAAAACCCAAAAATTAGACTTACCTGCGCTAGGAGCGGGATGTAAATCCATTTATCTGGGGTGCCCCAAACGTCTTCCCTGGCCAGGGTGGTGGCGATTAGGACAGAAAGTGGCAATAAGGCAAGAGAAAGCATAGCAAAGGCTCCTAGAATCAGAATTTAAGCTATTGAATACTTTGATTAAAAACATATAAAAGTCTGGAGGTCTACAGCTATACGTTTTAAATGCATACCTTTATGCTCCGGATGGTCCTTGTGGATTTCGCAGAGGAAAATGATATCGCCGAGGGCAAAAACGGCATACGGTGCTGCGAAGAATGCAACGGCTAGCAGATAGAATACGCCGTTTTGTAGTAACCATGCCAAGACACAAAGTGTTGTACCGGCAGTGGCAAGTGCTACCCTAAATTGATAAGATTTCAAATTTTTGGAAAAAAACTAAAGATATTATGTGAAAACAGTAAATCTAGTCAAAAAAAGCCCCGAGAAAGACACTTTAAGGTCTTTGCAACTTTTCCGCCACAACACAAGTTACACCCGGGTACCAAACTAACTTTATGTAAATGCAGATCGGTCTTCGTCCCAAATAATCCACTAATGGCAAAACACCAAAAATGGAAAACGCCATCCCCGTCAGATTTGTCCAGCTGGCTATCGAAAGCATCATGATTCCACTAAAATTCGGAAAAATCGTCATCGTTAATCTTCAAACCCATCATCGACTCCAAACATTTCAATGCTAGTTTTGTTGAAAAGCACCATAAGAGGAACGTTGATAAGCGCGCCGAGCTGAAAATTATAATCAAAGTATATAGGTAAGTGGTTTTGGATGCATAGGTTTATTGGTAGACCTGGGCTTTGGGCTTATGCTTAGCTTAAAAGGCCGTCCGCCAGCCACCCGACCTGTCCACACTATGGCTTGGCACAGTTTTTTTCGACCCTCCTTTTAGGATGCCATCTGAAAGAGCGTGGCCGAATTAATAGGGTGGCATAGTTTTGAAAGTTTAAAAAGTTGATTTTTGGGGTTTAAATGGCCGTTAAAGTTGCCGACATCGAAAACCTATCTCGAAAATTCCTGGACCAAATTTGCAGAAAATTTGTGACAATACCTAATTTTGGATGGAGATCATTTCTCTAATACATTTTGAAAGCTGAAAATGGCTGGAACATAGGAATCTCGCGTACTAAAAACAGTTTTTTAAGGTTTTCTACTTAATGGGAAATTAGCGGCATCCTGAAAGTAGCATAGAAAGATGCGCCAGTTTTTTCTACGTCGAGGATGTGTCTTTTAGGATGCCGCCGTTTTCCCATCATCTAGAAAAGTCGTGATCTCTGGAATCAACAAAAGTAGCCTTAGAAGATCGGGGGCTGATAATGAAAAATATAAAGGATTGCGGAAAGTATCTAGAGATCAATGCCACCCATTATCAAAAAAGAGCAAATTTAAATTCCTCATCTACGCGAAGTTGATTACGGAGGGGAATCGAACCCGCGATGGTCCGCCCGGGGGGCGCGGGGGACAGAGGCTAGAGGGCGCCGCCACCTCCCAGGCGAACGACCCGAGTTCAATCCCAGCCCCCTTTTAGAAACCGAATTTCTGTTTGCTCTTTTTTGCAATTGACTTGGCTGCGCTTCTAGAAGCAAGTGGGTGGCTCCCCGTCTGAAAAACTGGATATTTTTCTTTTTATCATCAAGAAAATGCCGTTTTTACAGATGATGGGAAAACGGCGGCATCCTAAAAGACACATCATTCGACGTATGTAGAAAAAATTGGCGCATCTTTCTATGCTACTTTCAGAATGCCGGCAATTTCCCATTAAGTAGAAAACCTTAAAAAACTGTTTTTAGTACGCGAGATTCCTATGTTCCAGCCATTTTCAAGTTTCGAAATGTATTAGAGAAATGATCTCCATCCAAAATTAGGTATTGTCACAGATTTTCAGCAAAGTTGGTCCGGAAATTTTCGAGATAGGTTTTCCATGTCGGCAACTTTAACGGCCATTTAAACCCCAAAAATCAACTTTTTAAACTTTCAAAACTATATGGCCCCACTAATTCGATCATGCTCTATCCGATGGCGTCAAAAAAACCGGGTCGAAAAAAAACTGTGCCAAGCCTATTTCGGTCCTCCCGCAAACGGCCTTTTAAACTTAGCTTAGGCTTGGCTTAGGGTTATCTTAGGCTTAGATCGAGGCGTCTAAATGCTCCATACCTGAAACATAGCCACCGTAGCACCACATGAAAACCCATAAAGCATACATTTTAGCAGGGACAACTTCGGAATACCTCTCAGGATCGAATTAAACTTTTTACTCGTATCTAAACTAGATAAAAACCAACTAATTAAGGTTAACCTTTCGATTTTTCAATCACGACCGTTCTCGCGTATTGATAGTCAATATAGCCCTGGTGAAATTCAAGGTCCATTTTTAGAAATCTAGAAAATCAGCCTCGAAAAATTCGAAGCTTCAAGGTTTTAGATTCGATATCACCGGAAGGCGTGTCAGCTTTATTTTGCCCCATTTGCCCCTTTCTGACCTACGCATGACTTCTAGGAAAAAGTACGGCCCGTCGCTCCCTTATCAAGCGTACATGGCTCTTTGGTGCAGCCATTTTCTGCAGTTTTGCATGCCTCGTCGGGCGGCGAACGTGCAGAAGCCATCGATTCCAGGCTTGATAAAGGGAAAAGCGTCTTATGGAGCGGTGCTCGGCCGGAATTCGACAACCGGCAGAATGTTTGGCTTTGTGCCATCATCATGTTTCCGGCTAGCTCAGCTCGACACATGGCCGCCGATCCTCAATCGTATTTGCTAGCTTGTTCGGCTACGGAAGCCTGGTGAGCTCCTCAAAAGGGGATGGTCTCAAAATCATCACTTCGAAAATCAGCATCTCGAAAAAAAACATCTGGGGTGCTCAATATCTCGAAGCTGCAGTATCTCGAAAAGCTATTATCTCAAAGTTTTTAGCCCGAAGAATCCGCTGTACAGGGTGTCCCATAGACCCCCCAAGTGAATCCGGTCATTTTTACTGGAGAAAATAAAGCAACCCACTGCCTTGTAGGCAACCTCAAAAACCCGCAACATTTTACGGAACGGCTTGGAAAAGAAGGAGGTCGCCAAGGATGCTGGTGAACGCTGGAACCCTGGCCATTTAAAGGGCTTTCGAAAGGTATTAACTACCATTCCCGCTCCGATACTTCTGCGTCGAGTTAGAGGGGACGCCTATTTTTTTTTATTGGGACGCCCCGTATGAAATTCCATCCAGAGTTCGAGAAATTTAATGTGCTGCCGCTGTAGAATTTCGAGATGTTGGACTCTCGAGATAGAAACTTCGAGGTGACGTTAGGAAATTTGTTCTGCAGACCTCGCTGCGTTGGCGCGGGCAATATTCAATTAAAAATCGCGAATTCAAAGGAGCTCCAAAACGCGTCAAATGTCACCTCAACCGTGGCCCACTCACCACCCGACTGGAATGCGGAATCGCAGTAGCTCGGGCTTTAAAAATCGCAAAGTACGGACTTGCCCCCGCGCCCGTCATTTGCACAGATGGCCCAAAAATTTTGCGTGGGGTTGCCAGCAAAGAGCGGCCAGTCCGAGAACGTCAATTTAGCAAGTTCTATAGGTCGCAGGATGGCACTAGGGTGGGACGGGGCAACTATTCTGAAAGTCAATGTGGGCTTGGTATGCTGGGCGATACTGTATAAAAGGGTGTGGGGATTAACGCTTGGTATCTGATTCATCTGGTCTTCTCTACCATGCAAGCTTCAACTGCTGTTCTTCTCGCTCTTCTTGGTTTGGCCTGTCAACAGGTAACAACCTAGCCTGAGCTGGAGCCCAGCCTAAGCCGAAGCACGACCCTAAGCCTATGATTATGCCTATGCCTAAGCCTAAGCCTAAGCTTGCGCCGAGGCCTAAGCCTAATCCGAAGCCGAAGCCTAAGCCTCAGCCTAAGCAGATCCTAAGCTTAAGCCTAAGCCAAGGCCGATGCCTAAACCCATGCGGAAGTCAGTCACAGCCCCAATTCGAAATTTTCTAAAAATCCTGCACCTTAGACCCTGGCTGCTGATTGCCCTGCCGGCCCACCCGCCGGTTCTACTGACGTATCCTGGGGCCGTAAGCTGTTTGTTTTAAGCTTGACCCGAATTTATAGCATCGCCCGATGGCAAATGCCCGACCGGACAGACGTGCTACTTGTCCGATGGCATGAACCAGTGCTTCGGGGTACGAGATTAAAAAATCATGTTTTTCCGCGCTGAAAGTCCAAAACCGAGCCAAAATATTTTTTTAGCCCGAGTCGACACCCGTCATCTGCACCGACAACAGCACCTAGTATGTCTCACGAATTTTCGGTTGCATTTTCGTGTATATTCATAATAAAATGCCCTTTCTAGCTGTGGCGCTTGGGTCAAGAACGGCTTCTGCACGAACAGCTTCTACGCGTCGCAGGTGGCCAAATCATCATGCTGCTAAGAGCTGCGGCCTTTGCCCGAAGGATGATGGATGCAAGGATGAGAGCGTCAAGTAGGTTGCAATGCCTACTCTCTCTCTCCCCCTCTCTCTCTCTCTCTCTCTCTCCCTCACCTCTCCTTCTAACAATCCTTTTCAGCTGCAAGACCTGGGTGGCGAACAACTTTTGCAACAGTGTCAACTACACGCCGGAACAAGTCAAGCAGTACTGCGCCAAGTCATGCAACCTATGCTAAATACGCATCTTATTGGCACTAGGCACCGCAGCGACCACTGCCAACCAATAATAATATTTTTGGAGATCTTATTCTAATAAATTTTTGATTCCGAATCTGGCAGGCAAAAAGTTTTTTTTTAGTTTTCCATTGGATTACCAAGGTCGTTCGAAAATACCACAAAGTATTTATTAAAATATCGCCCTGCATTTTCTTCACAAGAAGAGATCACTGTTTGTGTACGCTGGATGGTTGATCTTTTTCACAAGCAATCGTTGCCTCTCGGAATCCTGACAAAAAGTTGGTATGGGTTGAGAGGAATCGTCGAAGTATACGTTTCTCAAAATTACCTCGAATTCTCGAATTCTCCTCCAAAGTTTGCTGATAGAAACAGCCACAGCGGTTGAAAAGCCGGTGACAATGACAAAATAATAGTGTAGAAGGCCGTTGAATGTTAGTGGAACGATTGATGAAGAGATGGCGATCAGGATGGAGGTGTTGAGGTAGCAGAGCTGTAAGATTTGAGGTATCGTCCCCCTTTTTATAAAACGCTCTCTTTTACAATTTACATGTAAAAGCGCGTACCTGCGTGGCAATTATCAAATATTCTGCCGGAAAAATATCCGTGGCAATCACCCAACTCAACATTTGTACTCCGGTACATTCAAGGAGTCGGACCAGGAACATGTTAAGGTAACCTTAATTATGACATTTTTAAACTTTTGTCGATTTTATGGATTGACAAAACCGAATTATAAGACTAAAATAAGAGGTGCAGGGTGTCCCAATAATAAAATGCTTCCCTATAGCGATGTAGCATTATCGAATTGGCGAATTATAGTTACACCATTCGAAAGCCCTCTGTATTTTATTAACGGCTGATCGTTTTGCTTGCAGAAATTCAGGCAAATTAGCTCTTATACAACCTTGAGAAACAGCAAAATTCTACAAAAAGCTTTATAAAATGGCGCTGTTAAATAAAAAAACATGGTTTTGGGAAGTGTTGCAAACACGCCGTTTCAAGGGCTTTCGAATGGTATAGCCTTCATCCCGATCCGATACTTCTGGGTTAAGCTAGAGGAGGGGGGGGGGGCGTGTTTTTTTATTGGGACACCCTGTAAGGTTGTGTTTCTAACATCTTACGCACACAAAATATCCAGTTGCACCCATGCATTCAAGAGATGCAAGCCCGCCTTCATCGTGTAAATCGGTAATACATAAAACACCACTTGACGCCTATCGATTTTGTTGAAAATAATCGGCCCAACCCAACGAAATGGGATCATTATGATGGATATGGCAATGGAAGCTGTCAAAATCTAAAATAATCGCTTTTTAACGGTTTTTCTATGTTGATTTTATACCCTATTTACGTCAAGCCCCTCCTGGCCGTACACAGGCATCTGAAAATCCTGTTCGACCGCGCTGATGTTCATCATGATGAACGCGTCCACGCAGACTACTAACATCAATTTCTACGGAAATCATTTTTAAGACAATAAACTTTTAAAAATACCCAAATCAAGCCGTTCCTAGCTTGGAAAACTTTTACACCCTTTGCGAAGTGCTGCGCGTAAAACATTGAACACGACATTTCCACTAAAAATGCTTTTGCTGATTTTTCTGCACCCAACTTTTCAAGCGGGGCGCCTCGTCTGGAAGGTTATATCCGAGGATTGGGATCAGAAGATTAACACACTAAAATTACACTTTTTAGAAAAATAATTCTTGTGTCACTGCCTGAGCCAGTAGAGCGATGTAAATCCATTTTTCTGGGGTACCCCAAACATCTTCCCTGGCTAGTAGCATGATGATCTGATTGAAAAAGCCGAGCGAAGATAGGGAGAGCATTGCGAAAATTCCTAAATTTATCTTTTTCGCTCTTGCTCCCACACTCCTTCACTCACTCACTCACTCTCTCTCTCTCTCTCTCTCACCTTTATGCTTCGGTGGCGCCATTTCACACAAATAAATCACATCTCCAAGCCCGACTATGCAAAACGGCAGGGCAAAGAACGTCACACCAAGCAGGTAAAACAACCCGTTTTGCAGCCACCAGGCCAGGAAATAGAGCGCTGTTCCGGTAGAAGCCAATACAAACCTATGCCCTCTTTCGTTATATAAAAATCACAAACTTGACGTAGACACAAACAGGTCTTCTTCCAAGATAATCCATCAGCGGCAATACGGCAATAATCGACACTCCCATACCCACAAAATTTGTCCAGCTTGAAACCGAGAGCATCATGATACCTCTTCAAAATAAGCATAAAAAATTTATATGACTCTCTCTCTCTCGCGCTCTCTCGATTTCTCTCGCTTTCTCGTTCTCTCTCTCTCGCTCTCTCTCTCTCTCGCCCTCTCTCTCTCTCTCTCTCCTCACCCATCGTCAATCCCAAACAACTCGTAGCTAGTCTTGTTAAACAGCACCATAAGTGAGGGGTTTATAAAAGCACCGATCTTAAAAAAATACCTTTTAGCTGTTTCTATCCTTTTTCTACCTGAAACATAGTAATCGTCGAGCCACAGCAAAACCCGTAGAGCATACATTTTAGTAAAAATAGTTTTGGCATTCCTTCAAAAGACGATTTGGACTGTTTTCTCGGTTCTAAATCGTGACCTCGACCCTTGAAAAAATGCTATTTACGTTTATCAACTTCAGTCTTCTGTAAATAACGCAAATCCATATAGCCCGGATGAAATTCGAGATCCATGTCGCCTTCAAGGAGGTGAAGCAAAAATTATGGAATCGCGAGGGGTGTTGACCCTCAGTTCGCAAAAAATGCGATTACTTTTTTCGTTCCTCGTATCGGTAAGTACCGGGTCATTTCCCTTATCGCGCCGTACGTACATGGACCGTAATTTTGCAACTATCTGCCCCGGCTTCCTCGAAATCTCCCCAAACACTCCTGCATCAGTGCTGACCTTGCAAAACTGTTCTGTTCTTCGCGAACTTTGATTATGGGGCGAGGGTTTGGGAACCGCCAACTCTCAGGGGGTAACCGGAAAAGAAAACGTTCGCTATTTATTCGCCTTTAGCTATTACAAGGATTATTTTATACGACATTATTAGACGAAAGTCCGTAAATTTTTGTGTGTTTAGGCGGAAGCACCGGTTTCGACAACAGCGGCTTTTTCTCCCAGTCCTAAATTCAAACCATTGTTACGTCAAAACTACGAAATATTGAATTCTGGCTCGATTTCCGGCCGGCCAGATTGTAGATTTTTTTGACAACTCAAACTCAAATTCAAGATTACCTCGTCCTCAATCCGCCTCCAACTCGTTCTGAGGACAAAAGAAACGGCCGTTGGGATACCTAAAAAACCCGCATAACCGATAGTTAAGTAAGTACATACGACGCTCAACTTGACCCTTCCTTAAATGTTGATAATCCAGATAGCCCTGCGGGAACTCGAGATCCATTTTCGCGTTCAAGACGAGGAAAAAGATCGAGAATTTTTGACCGTGATCTTGATATGAATTTAGGGTCATTTCCCAGAGCCTAAGCCGGGGGACGCGCTTGGTACGTTCGATTTTTTTTATCGCGCTGTACTCTATTCGAGCGCTTTTCGTTCCAGTTTTTTATTGATGTTCGTGTATTTAGTGAACTTTGGGTACCTTTGAAAGTCGGCTTTTTACAGCATAAAATTTTAATGACTTTCATAATTTGTAGAATTTTTGGAATCTCCACGTTTTCGAAAATCCGAAGAATTTTTATGATTTCCGTATTGAAAGCCGCCCAGAAAAGCGGTAAAATCTGAAAACAGTGTGTATGTAATGATCTAACATTTTATATAATATTGGGACCCTAAGAGACCAGCACATCGAATATTTATTGAACGACACGATAAACGCTACGAGCAGAGATCACAATAAAACGAGATGAATCGAAGAGAAAAGGCTTGTCATTTTGCGAATAGATTAACGGCGCCGGGCACGGACACGGCCATTGATGGCGTCAAAGATGCGAATCACACAAAACATGTTGCAGAAGGCGTACGTGCTGAAGGTGGCGCGAACCGTCGGCCAGAACATTCTGGAAGATAGTTGTCGTTTTTCCACATTTTTAATTATTAATTATTTATTTTTATCCTCTATCACCAACCGGACCAACAGCCATTCGCCCGGTTGCTCCTTGTCAAAGTAGCGGTCGAAGAACTCGCAGAGGTGCTCGACGAGCACGATGAGCTGAAGTGCGAAATCGTGACCTTATTATAAGAAAAACTTTGGTTCTTTTGCATTATCGGAGGATTAAGGTTGTCCAAGGATGCAATTTTCCTGCTATAAATAATGGGCAGTATTTCTAAAACCATCAACTATAATAATTTTGCTGTGGTCTCTGTCTGTCCGTGTGAAGCCGAATTCAACTCGAAGGGGAAAGGAGCTAGAGCTTAGCTCTCTTCGGATTCGGATAGAGCGTGGTCAGAAACCCCCAAACTGATAAAAAAATAATGAAAAAGTTTTAGTTTAAATTATTAAAATTAACTTTGAAAGTGGCGCCTTAATAAAACGAGTGGGGGCCCCTCTCCCGGGGAGAGCCACGCCCCTTTTCTGTTCGCCCCTCTTTCCCAGGCCCCTTCGCGCGCCCAGATCGCTTTCTTAAGTTACTTTAGTACTTTTTAATACGTTTTAATTATGTTAATTAATTATTTAAAGTATCTAAAGCCATCGGGAAGGTATTAAGGCAGTTTTTGAAGGGGATTTCAGCCATGTGGGGGCATCTAAAGCCATCAGGAAGGTATTTAGGTAGTTTTTAAGGGATTTCGGCTATGGGGGATATCTAAAGCCATCGGGAAGGTATTTAGGTAGTTTTTAAGGGATTTCAGCCAGGGGGGTATATCTGAAGCCATGGGGAAGGTATTTAGGTAGTTTTTTAAGGATTTCAGCCATGGGGGTATCTAAACGCTTCATCACGGGAAGGTATTTAGGTAGTTTTTTATGGATTTCAGCCAGGGGGTATCTGGAAGCCATCGGGAAGGTATTTGAGTAGTTTTTTAAGGATTTCAGCCATGGGGGGTATCTAAAGCCATCGGGAGGTATTTAGGTAGTTTTTAAGGGGATTTCAGCCAGGGGGTATCTGAAGCCATCGGGAAGGTATTTAGGTAGTTTTTTAAGGGGATTTCAGCCAGGGGGGTATCTGAAACCATCGGGGAAGGTATTTAGGTAGTTTTTAAGGATTTCAGCCAGGGGGGTATCTGAAGCCATCGGGAAGGTATTTAGGTAGTTTTAGGGGGATTTCAGCCAGGGGGTATCTGAAGCCATCGGGAAGGTATTTTGGTAGTTTTTAAGGGGATTTCGGCTATGGGGGGTATCTGAAGCCACCAGGAAGGTATTTTGGTAGTTTAAGGGGATTTCGGCTATGGGGGTATCTGAAGCCATCGGGGAAGGTATTTAGGTAGTTTTTTAGGGATTTCGGCTATGGGGGTATCTGAAGCCACCAGGACGGTATTTGGTAGTTTTTAAGGGATTTCAGCCAGGGGGGTATCTGAAACCATCGGGAAGGTATTTAGGTAGTTTTTTAAGGGGATTTCAGCCAGGGGGGTATCTGAAGCCATCGGGAAGGTATTTAGGTAGTTTTTTAAGGGGATTTCAGCCAGGGGGTATCTAAAGCCATCGGGAAGGTATTTAGGTAGTTTTTAAGGGATTTCAGCCAGGGGGTATCTGAAGCCATCGGGGAAGGTATTTAGGTAGTTTTTTAAGGGGATTTCAGCCAGGGGGGGTATCTGAAACCATCGGGAAGGTATTTAGGTAGTTTTTAAGGGATTTCAGCCAGGGGGTATCTGAAGCCATCGGGAAGGTATTTAGGTAGTTTTTTAAGGGGATTTCAGCCAGGGGGTATCTGAGGCCTCGGGGAAGGTATTTAGGTAGTTTTTTAAGGATTTCAGCCATGGGGGGTATCTAAAGCCATCGGGAAGGTATTTAGGTAGTTTTTTAAGGGGATTTCAGCTATGGGGGGTATGGATGGAGGTGGGAAAGGATGTGGTGGAGTGGGACATGTAGGGTAGCCCGAAGGCCAGATGGTTGCAGTCGCGAAGCGACTGTAACCATCTGGTCTCTTTACAAATTTACAAAATACTAGGACCCTCGATAGTACAAAAAAACAAAACTTCTTACAAAGCCGCAGATTGCGTAGATCATGCAAAAGCCGGGCCTGACGAAAACCCGCCATCCTGCTCGCCACGTAAAGCCTGCTGCCCTGCAAAAGACTTTAAAACAGTATCTTATGTTTTGACCTTAATAACGTCAAAAGGCTTTCAAAATATCGAGAAAATCAAACTAGAGAGCTGTATATTGTATTTACCAGATGCCGATCAGCAAACAAGCCGGTAGGACGCCGTAGATGATGATGACGGCGAAGGCGTCCAGAAGCTGAAGAATTTGCTTCAAAAAGAAACTGGAAATTCAACCTCGGTCCATAATTCCGAAGAAGAAACGGGCTCATGGCATTCGGCGTCATCGAGATTCCTCCTGAAATGGTGATTTCAAGCGATTTTTGAATGTAGGTTCTTCCAAAATCCTTTTTCCGAGCCTACCAGCAGTGAACGAGCATCATTTTCTGTAGCCGTGCCCACATCTCGTAAACGATGATCCAATAAACCGTCAGCGTAGCGACAGACTAAAAGCACTTTTAATTATATTTTTGCCTTAGATGATTGAAAAATATCGCTTCGACTGGTTGCAAACGCAAAACAGTCACTCTACCGCGATAGGGTGACGGTTTTGCGCCTGATCTCGATCTACGCAATTTTCTATCCCGCTGCGCCGTTTTATGTAGGCAAAAAACGTGAAAACTTACAATTGTAAATAGGCAAATCCCTGGATGCTCTTTCGGGTGAAGCGCTAAAAAATGAAAGCGAATTTTGTACGTCACTCACCACTCCGCGCCATATTCTACGAGCGAAATGGCTTTTTAGTATTTTAGGCGGCAAATCCATTCTTTGTGGACATATTGAATGTTTTTATGCGAAATTGGAGGCGCTGATGGGAAAAGCTAATTTAAAAGTTCTAATTTTTAAAGTTTCTAAGTTTGTTCCGAGAGGCGCCTCTGGACGCTGCGGCGCAAACGGACCCCCGGACTGGTGCCGGTTTCTTTTCCTGCGCCCCGTTTTACCCACAAACACTTTGTCGGCCACAATGACAGACGAGAAAGAGGTAATCAACCTTTTCTATACCAAATGCAAAGTCTTTTCTAGTACGAGGAGCTTCAGAGGTTGTCTCAACTGGTAATTCTTTCCTGCGCATCTGTATTTGTTTTAGAGCGATCAGTTTGCGACCTACGCGACGGAATTGCGCAAAACGGTTTGTAAGTTTAGTTAAACTAAACTCTTTTTAGGCTAGAGCAGCGAAAAAGTTAATTGACAAGAAGAAGGAAGCAGATCTACCATCCGGCGATCGATCGGGAATGAATAATATGGTTGGTTTGAATCATATTTAGCAATATTTTTTAGGTAAAAGTCGAGTACCATGTGCTAATCGATCAGCTTCGCGTATTACCATCCAGAGAAGAAGCAGAAGCTGCCATAAAGGTTGGGTTAAGGCTCTTCTATTTACCTTTGTTAGGCGATGAGCGCGTTCAACGACGAGTTGGAGGTAATCAAAAGGCGCCTGTCGAAACAACCAATGGAGGTTTTGGAAGAAACCCACACGTCGATAACCAAAAAGTGGAGTTTTTGGCTTTTTAAAATTTTCGTTAGTTGATACAATCGGGATAGCATATCCTGCCAGTTTTGTACACAATTTTCTCTTTAGTTTAATCGAAGCCGAGTGACGATCCAAAATATTCCGGCTCACTACACGCAATCTGAGGCCATTCACCGATTTCTTGATGATGGTCGCGATTTGATTCATTGGGATGACTGGTTTGATTCGAAGCCAGCTTGCATAAACCTGTGTTCAGCCCAGACTGCCTGCTGCGCATCAACGATGATGGTAGCCAAAGGATTATCGCCTATATGCAGTCGGCTGAAGCGGCAGAAAAGGCGGGTTTCTTGGCCTGTTTATCTATTTCAGTGTGTTTTAGGTTGCAGCACGACTTCATGGCCGCATCGAGAACAATCGCGAATTATTCGTCTCCGTGGATATCCTGAAGCAGACCCGTGTAAAGGAAACCGTTGCGGAGCAAGCAAGGAGTCGTTCCTCGTTTGGCGGAACGGTGATCCCTCCCTTGATGGCAACACTTTTAACGGAGCCTGATTTCAAGGTGACTAATCAACTCAAATTTCCAATCTCTTTTATTAGTCTTCTACGGCCCCAGGAGCTCCACCGGACCCATGGTCAAACCGAGTTCACCGCCAGGTAGGGCTTACGATTAGCACAAATCTATGAATTCTTTAGGATGTGTTCCCGAAAGTTGCCGAAAATTCGGTTAAAACTAGCTCCGGTGCCAAGCCGAAGGCGGTCCAGAAAAATGCACGGGCTTTCAGCAAGGCATTCAACAAGGGCATGGTAAGGGTGCGTCCGGGTCGAGCTTTTTGGAATCTTTCTATCTAGCGCCACGACACTGTGGTCTGCATTCGGGGCATGCCGCCTGGTTCCTCAGCGCAGCTCCTTCCTTTCATCGATCCGAATGGCGGTGACCTTATTTATAAAAATGGAAAGTAAGCACTTCAGTTTATGATAGTGATTTTTTCAACTAACGTAAGATATCAGTAAACCGCTGATTCACGTGTTCCAGGCCGAAGCTCGTCTGCGTCACGCGTGAATGGAAGGGAAAACATCACGATCTCATCTTTGCACATATGACTTCGAAGGCGGCTGCCTCAAATGTGGGATTTTTTGCATTCATTAGCACCCAATTCGAGATGATAGACGAGATGTTGGCGAATAAAATATAAAATAAGGTTTGATGCTTACTTTTTCAGCTCGTCCACAAATATCAGAAGATCGCACCGCCGCTCATCGATCATAAGCTCGTTTGGGAAATCGCCGGCACCAACCTTTGGTCGCGGCTCTGATTTATTTTCTTGTTCCTGTGCTTGATTTCTCCGTTTTCTCATATTTGAATACTGATGCGATAGCTTTCTAAATGATAGGGTAAATAGAGCCTCGTAAGGGGAATCGCCGGTTCCAACACCTTAATTGCTTTTTACTAACCATTATTTTTGTATGGCCCCTCTATTTTCGGTATCGATTTAACACGAGTTTTTATTACGTGTGTTCCTGCATTTCTCAAGTTGCCCTTTTGTTCTTTTTCTTCTTTGCGCCGATTTGGCGACTTATTGGTTTGGCAAAGATAAAGAATTTTACCGGTGTTATTACTTGACTTGACTAGTGAGGGCATCTTTTTCCTCTTCGCTTCCGCGAGAAACAGTACTTGCCTACTACTTTTACTGCTTTATAACATATTTTTTAGCACGAACAATGACACGGCGCCGCAATGGACCCAATAGAAGCGTGGAACTTCTCTTCGAGCCAAAGGAGTTACAAGAGTTCCAGGCTAAGGTCGTTTTTGAAGGCCTTGTTGCCAAAGCGGGTGTTTCGTTTAGGTTGATACGCTGCTGGAAGAATCGAAACGATTGCAGACTACGGTACCGAATTTGGTACACATAGGATAACGGGGGGGAATAAAATAACGGGGGCACTCATTATTATGAAATTTGCAATTACTGAGGGATTTTGCGAGTGCCATTCGATAGAGCGTCGAAAAATATACTAAGAGAATTAATTTCAGCCCGAAATAATGTAATAGAAATTTTTTATTGAATAAACAAAAATTGAGGAAAATCTATGGGCAGCACATAGGATAACGGGGGAAGTCAAATTTTCGAAATTTTCGAAATTTTCGGTATTTTCAAAACGTCATTCGATAAAGCGTCGAAAACTGCCCTAGGAAAATTAATTTCAGCCCGAAATAATGTAAATGAAATTTTTTATCGAATAAACAAAAATTGATCAAAATCCATGGGCAGCACATAGGATAACGGGGGGAAAGCCAAATTTTTGAGATTTTCGATATTTTGAAAACGCGAATCGATAGAACATCAAAAAATATACTAAGAGATTTTTTTACAACGCGAAAAATGTATTATAAAAGTTTTATAGCCTAAAAACTATTTTTGAAAACTATGGGCAGCACATAGGATAACAGGGGGGGAAAAATTTTTTCGGCGTTTTGAATATTTTCGAAATTTTGAAAATGCCATTCGATAGAGGACCGAAAAATATACTAAGAGTTTTTTTTTACGCCCGAAAAAGCTTATTTAAAAATACTTTTATCATATAAAAGTTTGAGTGCCCCGTTATTTCCCCGTTATCCTATGTGTACCCCGAATTTTTTTGGCTATGCAGCTGCATTTTTAGGCGGAGAAAGCGCAGCGAGCGATGTTGAGCTCTCGAGCCGCCGGTCTATCAACGGTGCCAGAGGATCCGGAGATGCGAAAGCTGGTTCTTTTCATTTTAGAAAATAAATGTTTGAATTTAAATAAATGACGAGTACCGCTGCTTAATCGCAGAACTTCAAGGATTTCAAATAAATCAAGACGCACTTGCCGTGGGACTGGTAAATGATTTTACCAAAAACCGCTAATGACAATCTTTTTAGGCTGTTGCTGAATTTCAGGAATATCTCGGCATGTTTGGAACGCGGCTGTCGACAGTGCCGGTGGTCAACGAAGATACGATGCAAGAGGTTCGCGCTTTTTATATGCAAGCAGTGTCAAATGCGTTGTCGCCACTTTGAATAACTGACTGGCCTTTTTAGTCTACGCGGAACAAAGTGACGATCGGAAATATTCCGGCTCACTACACTCGTACCGATGCCATCAAGAAGCGAAACGTTGCAAGTCAGACGGCCGCTCTTCCTGCGGTCGCCGTGAACAAAGGAAATAAGCTTGAGAAGGTTGGCCAAATTCAAGGCGATTAATTCCTGTGTATCTCCAGAAACCCGCACGGTGCGTGCGGTGTAGCAAGAATGTGTTCCCGAAAGCCGATAAAGGAGCGACAAAAGCGGCCGCGAAGCCGATTGCCGGAAGCGAGGTGCGCGTTGCGCGGATGGTGATGGAGAATTCTAAGAAGTTGCTGAAGTCGAGCAAAAAGCAGGTGAGCCTGGAGACGTTTTTAGTTAAGATTTTTAACGTTTGATAAAAATAAATTCCGTTAGTTAAAAACATTTGTCGAAGATTTTTTCTCAAAATCAAGCTTAGCGGGCAATTCTACCGCAGCTATCTCGATTCCAAAAAGTATAACGAATCGATTGCCATTTAACCGAAACAAATTAGCACTAATAGCAACAACAAAAAATTTGTGGGTAAAATGAACGTAGTCAAAAACATAAGCGGTCATTGTAGGCGCAAAAAGGAAATATGTGCATTCTGTAAACCCCAATTATTCAGAGTCTCTCGCATCTTGCCGAGCTTGCCGTGGCGCCTGTCGTCAAGCCGAAATCGAAGAAGGATGTCGTCACTGTAACGGTCAAGCATAGGAAGTGGGGATCGAAAGACGTCGATAGCAATGGAAAGCCCCAATTCGTGAGGCAGACTGCAGAGATGGTTGCGGAGAAGAGGGCCAAACCGGTTCGGGTGCCCAACGTCCAAATCCAGAAGGCAAATTTATAGGGTTGTTTCTAATTTTACTTTTGTAGTTCCACGACACTGTGGTCTGCATTCGGGGTTTGCCAGCCGGCTGCTCGTGGCTGCTCCCACCGTTGATCGAGCTGGCAGGCAGTAACATCATTTATGAGAATGAAATGTGGGTCCATTGGTCGGTTCATAGTTTTTATTTTTAGGCCCAAGCTCGTATCGGAATCGAGGGATTGGAAAGGAGAGCAGCATGAACTCGTCTTTGCATATATGGAATCAGCTGAAGCGGCCATAAATGTTGGTTTCTTTTTAAAATTCGGGAGACTTGTTGGGTTTTTGTTAGCCAAATACGATGCATGAGCAGCATTAATTTCGGTTTATTATCTATCATACCTTATATAATTTATATATAAATTTACAGGCTGTCCCCCCCCTCGGCATTTGGCCGTCTTCTATCCGATGGGGGCCGGATTTTTACCAGCGATGGGGATCAATAAAAACTATGTGCACCGAATTTATATCAAAATATTGTAAACAATTATATAGAAATAAAGTTTATTTTGCCGATTTACTAGGATTTTGATGGATTTGGACCTCGAAACGTTTAGCCAAAAATGAAGAGGACACTTTTTCCATCCGTAGAATTTTTATTACGAAAAATACGTCGAAATTGGGCCTTTATCTTTTTTATCACGTGAGGGCCGAACCGAGCCGCAAATGATCTTTTGAGAAATTACTCAAAATCAGGCTGCTAATTGCGAAACATAGCCAACAATGAGTATCAGCATTTCCCAAAAGCAGTTCTTTACGACAACTTTTTGTTTTACAATATTTTCTTAAAAATCGGTCCCGAACCGATAAAGACGGCCAAATGCCGGGGGTGGGGGTTTAGACACCCTGTATATTTAATTGATTCATTTATTTTTCATTCTATTTTCAGCTCGTCCGCCAATTTCAGCGAAACCCTCCGGCCCAACTCGCCGCTTACAACGTCGTCTGGGAAATCGCCGGAACCAACGCTTGGTCGAGGCTTTATGCCTGAGTTGTTGTTTTTGTTTCTCTTTGCGGATTTCGAAGCACTTATCTTTCACATTACGCCAAAAGTTGCTGTTTATTACGTGTATTCCTACATTTTCCAGACTGCTTGAATGCCTTCTTTCTCAATCGAGTTGACAATTTATTAATTTGTTGTTGAAAATAAAAACTGGCCGAATTGCTTTTTCTTATTCAGGCGTGAACGATTACTCAACAAAAAAAATTCTGATTCCGATTCTGAAAAATCAACGGCAGTTTCAATTAAGATTAATGTTCATAAATGAAGTTTCAATTAATATGAAATATTAATATTTTGATTGCTTCCCGTGGTCAAGACGTGGGTTACAGTTTTGCTGAAGCTCAAGAAATTCAGACTTTCCTCAGCATCAAATTTCTCTCCGCGAAAATTTATTTACACATACAGATGGAAGCGTACAAATTAGTCGAATCGGTGTACCGTTAAAAATGGCGGCAGATTAGCATACAGAAAAAACATCGAGAGCGAGTTGATTAGCAAAAATCTGGAGATAGACGTAGCACGGTGGGTGTATATTTCTACTGGAGGTGTGTTTGGAGGTGTACTGCTTCATGCCGTGGTGGTGTTCGCCTCGGCCGTCACCTTCAAAAACGTGTCCTCGAGGCCGCACTGCGTGACGCTGTAGTCGGCAATTTCTGTAATTAGGGTAGCTAGAATCGCCTCGGATCCGGAAGACTTACGCAGCTTCGGGTCAGCGCACAGCTTGTTCATCGCCGTCCATGCCGCCGACCAGGGCAGGGTGGTAGATGGGACCTAATTAGAAAAGTTAAAGATTACGCGACGATACTTACCACATAGATACAAGTCCGCGACGCGCCAGCCTCCTTGATCTTGATCTCGGGGAAGAAAGCCGTCATAGCCTGAGTGACGGCCTCCACACTGGCCACCATCAGTTCGTGCAGCTTCACCGGGTCCTTCTCGCCCGACTCGTCCGGCTTCAGCTCGACGGTCATCGTGTACCCGCCACTGTATCTAAATTTCAAAGTATTGTAGATGATCGCTTAAGGGCCCCACTTTGACTTGAGATGCTGACTCGACCCGATGGCCACCATCCGTCCCTTGACCATGATCGAAATCTTGGTGCACAACGCCTCGCACTCCTCCATCGAGTGCGACGTCAGTAGCTGAGCTGTACGACCTGGTGGTTGGCGGGAGAGGTCGAGGTGCATCCAGATGTCTCGGCGGGCCTTCGGGTCGACACCGGCCGTCGGCTCGTCGAGAATTCGGATGGCATCCTGGGCAAGGAGGGCAACACCGACGCTGATCTTCCGCTTCTGGCCACCGCTGCAGAACTTGATGCGCTTGTCGCCGTCGTTGGACATGCCGACGGCGGCGAGGACCTGAAGTCGTAGATATTTGCGGTGAGAGAGTGAGTGAGAGAGAGTGAGAGACACGACCTGCGTAGCCACCGTGGCCGGCTCGGCGTATCCATGGCAAGTCGCCATCAGCTTCAGCACCTCGCGTCCCGTAAAATCGATCAGTACGGCGTCGAACTGTGGACAGTAGCCGATCGACTAAATGGCCGACCGATTTCCGCTTCTCGATGCTTCACGATTCAACTCTGGGCGCGACTCACCGAACTTTGCGTGTCCGGTTGGCCGTAGAGCCGGATTGCGCCCCCAGACGCCACCTTCAGCCCGGTCAGAATGTCGATGGTCGTCGTCTTGCCGGCGCCGTTGGTTCCTTAAAAACGAATACTGCTGTACGTTTTCGAAAACAGCGAACCGAGCAGCCCAAAGCATTGGCCCGGCTCGACGGCGAACGTAATCTGGTCGACGGCTGGTTGTGATTTGCAGCCGAACCACTTCATCAAGTCGGACACCTAAAAGTATACGGAGGACTCCAACAAAGTCCCGAATGCCCCCACCAACAGCGGCCAATTCTGATGCGCGTTCTGCCTGACGTATTCGCGCTCAGCTGCGACGTCCTCATCGGCATCCTGGTAGCGCTCTCGCTTCCGGTGGATACAGGCCGCACCAGTGAAGGCGAGCACCACCCGGCGCACAGTCCGCGAAGACAGAAGCACGAAGAGCACGGCCATCAGCGCGCCGAACACCGCCATCGCGATCGCCGGCAACCCACTGACCCTGAGCAAAGAAGATGGTCGATCCTTTGGCATCGTGGCACTTACCACCACGGGTCAAAACTCTCCTTGATCCTCTCCTCGGCCTTATACTCGACGATGATCACGTAGACGATGCCCATGCACATGGCAAATGGCGGGAAGAGGAACTGCAGCGGCACCTGGACGAGGTTAGGGTTCTTGACTGCTAGCGGGGGGATTTTAGCAGGGGGAAACCACTTCTTGTTTTGCGACCTCTTATTCTTGTTGTAGATAAATTATGTATTTTTCAGCGTGTGTTTAGTATTTTTTAATTGCGAGAAAGTTACAAAAATATTTTGAAAATTCGAACATTTTTTACCTTTTTTGGGGTTTTTTCATACATTTTTGACCACAAAGTCAAAAATTTTTGAAAATTTTTACGATTTTTTAACATGCTTTTTATATCTAAAAATACGCAAAGCGTTATCAAAATGAAAATAAATTCAGAATTTAGACCTTTGAAAATTAAAAAAATTGAAAGTCGTCTAATTTTTGTCTAGCGGACAGAAATATTAAAAACACCAGAAAAATGCATTAGACTGGCAAAGTCAAAGACAAAATGCACCAACAGTGTCGACAAGAGGCGTAAATAGATATTAAAATAAAACGCAAAATAGTCACCCTCCCGCCCTGTAAAAATAGCGCCTTGCCAACCCTTACCAGCGCCACTTTGAGCTTGGTGTGATCTTTTTCTTTTTGGCTAATGGAGGCTTCGTAGGTGATCCAGATCATTATAATGAAGACGATTACAGTGGCGACGAGGGGAGAGATGACCTGAAAAATAAGTGAAATAAATCGTCTTCCCCCTTTAGCTGGTCGCAGGCTTGTCCGATTGTTACGATTTAGGTATCTATCGAACGCCCCCGAAATGGCGAGTCCAGCACGTCATTCCGATTCTCGAATTTAAAAAATTTTTCTAACTATACTAATATCTTTGCGATTTTCTGATGTTTTTCTGGCCATGGGGTTCTTGCAAAAAGCACAATTTAAGGATTTTTACGTATTTCCTGGCAGCCCAGCGTGAGCGTTTTAAAAGCCGTTTGCGGAAACAAAGTTTGGATAGCGCTCCAAACAGGTGAAATGGGTTTTTTGGACAAAACAAGCCTATCCTTTTTGCATGCAAATTGGCCGAAAACTGAGCAATCGTGGAGACATGCTAGACATGCTAGACTCGCCTTCCGAGAGCTTTCCATAGATAGTTAAATCGTAAAAATCGGACACGTCTGCGGCCGCCTGGGGGTGGTAGTTTTTGGACACCCTGTGGTGACAAAGAAGGCTACTCTTCGCGTTTTCCGACGAGCTGAGTGGCTTGCCGCCAACCTGCCAAATGATGAGCAGTGTGTTGGCCTTGGCGGCGGTTGCGAACAGGTACGAAAGGCAGTAGATGAACGGCAGGCACGCCCACAGGTAGAGGGCCCAAAAGCCGGCAAGCCTGGAACGGAGAACGGAGCAGTGCGAAGCGCGTCTCTGCCACTAACCCCGTGAGCGCCTCAAAACCCAGCACACCACCCGCATAGAAGATCAGGAGGCCGACGGCGAAGACGAGCGTGCATAGCAGTATGTCGTACACAATCGACGCGGCCCAGAAGGTGACCGGATGCAGCTTGGTGAGAAGTTGCTGAAGGGAAGGCGTTTACGCGGTACTGGACTGTTAGCAGGGGCGAACCAATTTTTACGTCAGAGTCTTCCCCAGCCCAAGGGCTTCAAAACTGTAACAATAAAACTAACAATAAAACTGACTGTTTAAGAGATTTTTTGCAACTTTCCAGCAGTCAAAACCTACCAAGGCATTGGAATAATACACTATTTATTGTCAAGAAATAAACCAGCGAATAAAGATCTCCCCACCCCCGCTAACAGTCCAGTCCCACATTCGCCACCCAATTTCACCTGATGCTGAAAGTTGCTCGTGCGCTCCTCGACGAGCATCACGACAAAACCGGAGGTCAAAATGGAGAGGGCGATCAGCACCAGCGGGATCATCACCGCTTTGCGGAGCTGAAAGTCATAGATTTTTGGCACTAACAAGGGAAATCAAGTTGGCACGGTGGAATTTCGAAAAACGCCCGCGGCTACCCCTAGGTTTTCGACTATGGCGATTCCAACGCTCCGGTCAGAATTTCCTTAATGCACCTGTGGACAGAAGTCTCAAAAAATAGCATAGACGGTTTCGAAATTCCATCGTGCCAACTTGGGGTTCCATTGTAAGGATCAAGTTGCAGCTGTGCGAACCAGTGTGTCTTTGGCAGCTTGGAATGCCTCGTACTCGGCGAAGAAGGGGAACACGTGGATACCGGTGGTGATCTTTGCCTGATCGTTGTCACTAAAATCGCGGGTGACGATGCTGGCTTTAGTAAGGTTTCGCCCACGTTTTCGTCTGCAGCCGGACCGTGTCGACGATATTGATGAGCAGCGGGGCCGTGTGGAAGCCGTTCGGGTTGTACCAGGCGTGAACGCGGGCCGCTGGACCCCACGAGTCGTTAAGGTGGAGGCCGACGGCGAGTCGAGGCAGTTCTTTGGCCTCCTTCAGGGAAAGACAGGGAATGAGAATGAGAGAGAGAGAGAGAGAGCGAGCGATAAAAGAAAGAACCGCAAATCCCAAAATCATACCTTCAACAAGTCTTTGTAGAATTCCTGCGTCCCAGTCAAGTCTAACAGCTCGCAGCCGTCGCTCAGCAACCGGCGGTACCGCTCGACCGCGTATGTGGTACCCGGAGCCACCTGAAAAACGGACCACTCCGAAGCTGGACCCCCGGTGGTTACGTTCAGAACGCAGCGCCCCATCTCGATGGTGGACGGGCCGACGATGATGCTGTCGACATTCTGGAGCAGTGCGAAATTACCGTCCTGGGCGCAACCCTACCGTTGTCGTCCGGTGGCACACGTAGTTGACACAGAAGAAGAGGGCAATCGGGATGAGGATCTGGGCAAAGCGTTAGCGATAACTTTGGGACTGCATGTACCTCAAGTGGCTTAAGCTCAAACTTCAATCTGTTTCTGACCTGGACGACAAACTGCGGGATGTTCTTCAGATTGTACAGCAGCCGTTTCGTGAGCATCGCCAAGAAGTGGGCAAGCAGCATCGGCAGGCCGTCACGTCGTGAAGCACTTGCCTGCAGCCGCGCATTCGAAAAACAAGCTGAAAACCGACCCAAGCCGTCGGGACTCCCGTCGTCTCGCCCTTCTTGCCCCTCGCCGATCTCGCCGACTTTCAGGAACACCTGCTCGAGCGTGTTCAGCGACATGCCGAAGTCGACGAGCACCACGCCGCCCGCGACGGCTTTCCCGTCCTCCTTGAGCTTCTCGAGGCTAAAGGAGAATTGTCGGCAACAGCGGGGACTAATTACGCTTGGCACATTTTCGGGAAGTTCTCCTTGCTGTTCATCGGGATCGTCATCTCGATTTGTCGGCCATGCGGAGGGCCGAGGGGGTAGCTTGCGGCGCCACCGCCAAGTGCTTCGAGAACCGTTTTTTGCGCGGCTTCGCCCAGACCTTGCATCTAGAGCCTGTTGTTCTGCTACAACTCTAGGCACTCACCGCTTCCGGCGCAACCGGTGCGACCATGTCTTGCTGCCCCCTCAGCAGTCATCGAAGCTCCAACGATCGTCAGAATGTAGCCGCTGCCGTACTTCCGCTTCAGATATCCCGGCGAGCCGTTGATGACATCTCGGCCACCTTGCATGATCGTCACCCAATCCCCGAGCTTCTCCGCCTCGTCCATGTAGTGGGTCGTGAGGAGGACGGTTCTGGAGGTTGTCATTTATCGGTATTCCAGGAGTTTCGTCCCAACCTATCTCTCTTGATCCGCTGCAACACGTACTCCACGGCTCGCCTAGCCCCCGGGTCCATACCAGCCGTCGGCTCGTCGAGGAGCACCACCTTCGAACGCCCGATGATTGCCATAGCGACGAGCAGCTTTCGTTTCGTACCCCCGGAGAGGTTCTTGGCCAGCTGAAAACGTTGAGTTTAGGATTTAACGGCGCCCTGACCTCGTCCTTCTTGTCGTCAAACTTCAAGTCGTGCATCAGCGCGGCTCCGGCTTTCTCGTGGTCATCGTCGGCGCCCTTGAGGTGGTGGAAGAACCAGAGGTGCTCGGCGACGGTCAACTTCGGGAAGAGTGGGTTTTTCTGCGGACACAGTCCGACTGGCTTCGAATTGACTTTGACATTGCCTGAAAAAAGAAAGATCTCAGTGCACAGAGAGAGCGAGAGGGAGAGAGAGAGAGTGATAGCGAGAGTAAGAGAGCGAATCTCAAAACCTACCCGAAGTCGCACTGGCAAGACCGCACAGAATCGAGAACGTCGTGCTCTTGCCGGCGCCGTTGTGCCCCAGGAGTACGGTGATCTGGTTGGTTATTCATGTATAGTAACCGGAGGAACCAAACCTGTCCTTGAATCGCCTTCAGATTCACCCCCTTCAACACCCAGCTGGCGCCGAGGTTGAATTGCTAAAGGGAAGTATGTTTTTAGTTGAACGCGCTGTTAAGGCGCCTACCTTGGTGATGTCCTTCATCTCGATGTCTCCAGGCGCAGCGTTGCGGTTCTCGTCGATCTCGTCGACCAGCAGGTTGCCCCCGTCTTCGCCCTTCACCGGTGTCTGCGGCGACGGGCGGGACTGCAGGCCAAGGATTTTGCTGCGTAACCGATTACAAAGATCCTACCGACATCCGCGATATCATGTCGCGCACAAAGTTAGTCTCCTCCGAGCGCAACCGGTCGATCAGCAGCGCGGCGCCGAACATCCACAGCGCGTCAAACTGTAGCGTTCAGGGGGGGTGGTGACACAGAGGATCAAATGGTCCCACCATCAGCATGAAACACACGGAGGCAATGCTGAAGTACTTGGTACCGTCGGCGTACACATCATCGAGGTCGATTGGCTTACCTGGAAGTGAGGTTTTGGTTGGTTAGCGGGGAACCAAATTTTTCCCTGCGGTTCTATACGGCGTCATACAAACACGTAAACCATTTTTCTAGAAGTTTATAAGATTTTTAGGGTTAAAAGATAGTTAAAATCAGTATAAAAAAAATCAAAATATTCGAAAAATTCTTGATTTTTTGATAAAAATGTATGAAAAATGACCGAAAAAGGTAAATTTTCGAATTGTCAAAATTTTGAAGAATATTGTTTATAGCTTTTTAGCCATCGAAAACTACTACAAACACTATAAAAAGACAACGTATATCAGCAACAGGTAGGTGGAAATACAGAAAGTTAAGAATCCCCCCGCTAGCAGCCAGTACCGCGTTTTCTTCCCCCCCCCACCCCGCGCTAATGAATCAGTTCCACAACACCCACTGCGCTCGTCAAAGCTGAACCAGATGTCGACGGCAAAGGCGAACGCCTGGTTGGGGTTGAGCGACAGGAAGAAGCACCACAGCACGTCTTCGCGCGGGCGGCCGGCGACGAGCGGCTGCAGGGCCATCATCAGCCACAGGATCATGGCCACTGAAAATTGACCAGCGGTCTCCTCCAACACGCCTGGGCCTACACTTGAATACACTGGACGCCGTTTTTAGGATAGAGGAGCAGAACACGGCGAACGAGACGACGGCAAATGAGTAGAGGAGTGCCACGAAGGGAATGTGGAGCCAGGGTACCAACTGGAAAGAACTTTTAATTTTTCGCCAATACCTCTTAAAGATATAAAGTGTAGTTTTATCGTGTTTCTAGTAATTTTTCATCGCTAGGGAATGATAAAAAAACTAAGACATCCTTGAGAATAGCTTTTGTTCATTAAGCTAGAAATGCCTACTAACTTAATAGAAAGTACCTTCATAATGCTTTGATTCAAATAAAACTTATGTTTTAACTAGAAAAAGTATCTAGAAACTTTGAAAAAGTCGACGTTATGGTCAAAAATGGTCATTTTTTCATCGAAAAATCGATGTTTTTGCATTTTTTAATATAACTTTGCTAGGTCGTTGCGTTTAGAAAGAGTAAAAACAGATTAGAAAAATTCTGCTATTCACTTTTCAAAACTTGGTGCTTAAGAAAAATTCTCCCCCCCCGATAAGGCGAAAGAACCTTTTTCGATATTTTTATCCAGAACTTGTGTAAAATGCTTTAAAAACGATTATATTTTATTGTAGGAGCCATTCTACTGGAGCAATCGAGCCCCAGCTAGAGCAAGTAGACGTACTTCAAAATACTTCCACAGCGGGTAGAAGAGGAACGGGAGCAAGAGCATCGACTTGAACCACGCGACGAAGGCGTGGCTGAGGTAGAAGAGCAGCGGGGAGAGACCCATCACTTGCATGTATTCCTAGGAGATTGATGCGGACGGCAAAGCCGAGGCAAGCTTACCCTGAGCCCGATCTCGACCTCGAACGAGATGTCCCTGGCGAGGTGAATGATGGTGGGCAAGAGGAGGAGGGCCAGCATACCCGAGTAGTAGGGCATCATCTAAAATTTTTTTTTTTTTTTTTTTTTTTTTTTTTTTTTTATTTTTTTAAAATATTTTTTTTTAATCCCCAAAATTTTTTTCCTTTAAAATTTTTTTTTAACCCTTTTTTAAATTTTTTTTTTTTAATTTTCCTTCAAGGATTCCCTTTCGCCGAATCCAAAAAAAAACTGTCTTTCATCAAACCCGCAAAAACGCACATATGCGGCCTCTTTCAGGGGCGGCGCCATGGCCGGGAACGAAACGTAGTCGACATCCTTGCGGTCTCTAGGGCTAGGCCCCTTCGCGGTGGTCATCTACAAATTTATCGTTGTTAGGCTTGGGCATCAAGGTGCTCAAATGTGGTTTTCCTGCTCCGCCTTACCTTGATGAAGGCGTCGTCAAGGAGCCACTGCATCTTCAGCGCGCGATTCGCGGCATAGGGCGAAACCCTGTTGATGGTGGTGCCGCCGAGCTCCTGCAGTAGCACTGTTTTTGGTTACTTAACGTCCCCTGCTCACCAAGAGCTCATTAGCTTTCTCATCAATTTTTAAAGGCCTGCCTTTCAAGGCAAGAATTTAACGTAGAAAATTTTTTAAACGTTCGAACGTATCCGAAGTAGACAAATACCCAAATAAAGTTAGAAAGTATTTGAAAAACGCAGACAATCCGGACTTATAGGGTCGAAAAAAATAATTTTTCGGCCAAAGGTTTTGCATTCAAAACTAGTAAAGTTTTTATGCTGAAGCATTGCTAAAAACAATATACCGCTATTTATAATCTATGCTAGTGCCCGGGCGAAAACTTGGTGATTTTGCCCACATCGGTTAAGGAGTTGAAGAAGGCCCAATTCTGATCGAATTTCCATTCTGCTGCCATGCCGGGCACCCAGATACGGTAGTCGAACACGGCAGCCTTCACGTCGATGTTCAAGATCGCGATGCCAAACGCTCCTCGCGGACCTCTGAATAGATAGCAGTTCTACTGTACGGACTAAAAACAACTCACGGACTGGGTGCGTCGTGTTGCCAGGGATCATCCGCCAGAAACGTCGCCATGGCCTGAAAATGGGCTGTTTTGGAGGGTTGCTGTATTCTAAAATCGTGGTAGCTAGATGCGCAGGGTTTACGAAGGCAGAGACCATCGCTTCTATGCGGATTACCAGCACGCTACGTGCATGCTTGACCTCCGAAAACCAAGTTTGGGTTCTGGACTGTCAGCGGGAGAGCGTTTTTAACGACGGGGAACCCAATTCTGCCGTGTGATTCTCTACCGGCCTATAACAAAATATCAACCATTTTTCTAGCAGTCTTTATTCAAAAAATGTATGAAAAATAACCAAGAAAGGTTCCAATTTTCGAACTTTCAAAATTCAAGAAGATTTTTCATGACATTCTATTTTTCTTTTCATTATAACTACCAATTTCTGGAAACCAAAAACTACTAAAAACACTATAAATATACATAATAGTTCATCATCGAAAAACAAAAAGCGTTTTGCTCCCCCCCCGCTAAAATCCCCACGCTAGCAATCCAGTACTCTTTTTTTTCTCCGGGGTCCAGGTTGGCCTGTGTATCCGATCTAAATTGCTTTCATCCAATCTTTTTCGTAAAATACTATTTGGAAGCAAATAGCATAGCATATCATAGCAAATAGAAATTTTTTTCGACTTTTCCAACATTTTTCTAACCGAAAATCGACCTCTCTCGTGTCATAAAGGCGCGGGGGCGGCCAAGTTTCGTTTTCAGCTTCCTTGATGACCTCCTGGTAGGTTGTCATCAACAACGCCGCAATGTCGCGTTGTCCGGGAATAACGACGCTATAAAATAAAAAAGTTTTCCCAAAAGTTCTATTAACCGTTGTAAGGTATAGCAAAATGTCTACACGATTTTAGTTGCAAAAATCTTAGAAAAAAAAATTGCCGAAAGTTTCTGAGAATTTGGGCAAAAATCCGTGAAAACCCCCAAAAAAGGGGAAATTTTCGAATTTTCAAAGCGATTGAAAATTCTTGATGCAGTTATGCTTCAGCAAGCCCGTAATCCCAGAATACCTGTCCAAAAAATCCACCCTACTTTTAGAAATTTAGAATCAGGTAAAACCCTACGTGTAGACGTAGGTGCTCGGGGTGGGGCTCATCGTCAATAGTTGGAGACCGACAAAATTGGAGCCTCGATCCTAAATGCTTTAGTGTCATGGCAAGGCCTTGCACAACCTCACAAGCCAAAAAACCTCAAAAAGAATCGCTCGAAATTACCTGCTTGGGTTCCACCCAATCGCCGGCTTTGATGAGCAGCGGCACGCCGATGAGCAACGGAAGGATGAGCTCCACCAGCGTCCACACCTTAAGCGAGGTCAACAGACGGCAGGAGTCTAGTTTAGTCTATCCTGTGCTGAGAAGGTGGTGGAAACTTGCGCGACTCAAGTCGCAAAATTTGCATAGTTCCACCGGACCTTGTTCCGCCACATGAGAATCAGATTCTTGAGGGTGAGCAGCCAGAATTGGGATAGGCACCGCATGGCGGCGGTGCTGTCGCGAAGACTGGGGCGGTAATATTTTTGTTCTCATCGCTAATTCAGAGGACTTATGCTAGTTTATTGACCCTGTGGATGCAAATGACTTTTTCAGGACAGGTAGGTATAGCGTTTTTCCAGCTCTACCCGCGACGATACACATCGACTTGATTCTAAATCATTGTGTTCCGTATTTTTCCCTTCATCGTTTTATTTCACTTCCAATATTGATTAGGACAAGCTGAAGTCTGAGCCTAAGCCTAGCCTCCTGGATTTACAGCACTTTTTTCTTTCCATGTGTAGTTAGTTCAATTTTTATTACAGAGCACGAATCGAGTAACAATTAAATGAAATTGACAAGGATCTCTAAAACGGTCGATACGTCTCGGGCTTACCATTCGATTCTCGGGGACGTTGACTTTCTTGACGTCCCTGTTGCAGCCGGTATTGTTGAAGATCAAATCCAGCAGATCGTTTTACTCTGATGCGTTGGCATGGTGGTGCGCCGCCACCTGTATTGATGTTTCCAAGGTCACTTTTAGATTACCTCCCGGTGGATCCCGATCATCTTCCGGTTTTCGTTTCCTAGAGTTCGAAGGGCCGGGCTGGTCGGGCCCTCGTGTCGTCAAGCCTGAAAGCTCGGGTAAGCTTGCGATCAATGAAATGAATAATCAATGCAAAACATACTCCTCTTAAGCTCAGCCCAATGATCTTTCCACCGCTCCTCGGGTTCGTCTTTCTTCGTGACTTTGTTGAGCTCTACAGAGAAGATGTGTGGATCCAGAAAGTTTGAAACTCACCCGTATTTGGATCGGCAGCCCTTGCTTCTAAGCCTAAATTTGGTGTTTAGCGGCACGTATCTGATAAAAACTACGTGCTTGCCGCATTCTGTCAAATTGCAGTTGCTGCACTCTAGCGTATTCTTCGGGCGTGCGTTGGTGGTGGACGTCTGAAAAATGTCCGTAAGTCGGCAGCTGGGTGGTGTCGATCTCCTACCCGTTCTCTCCTGATAGGCCCTCTCACGCTCGGTAAGAAAGCGGGGAGGCACAAAGTTTGGGGGACGACGTGGATTCGTGGGGTCTTCGTCTGAAAACTATCTTACTCTTCTAAGATTAACCAAAATTTGACAATTTTTCATTCATTTGATTATGGTTTTGGAAAATAAAAAAGTGCCAAGGCTCAGGAATTTAATTTTTTCAAAAACCCACCCGCCGGATCGCCCCAAATTGCCATTCTCGCCGGATACCCTATCCGCCATATGCCCGGCAATACTGCAAAAAAATTACAGGGTTCACTGAGAAAAAATGTTTGCCAATGACGTACGCTCCTCCCCATGGGCGAACCAGTCTTCTGGGTACTGATGATTGTCGCGTGCTAGAAAAATAATCAAAATACAGGAACAAATTTCGCTCTAGAAAAAGCAGCTCACCCCCGGCCGGTCCATTAAACGGGTCATCTGGGTATCTTTCGTCGGCCTCGAAATTTACGCTCAATAGCTATTTTTTTTCTCGCATATTTCACCAGGTATTTGATTTGGCCGACGTCTGCTTGGATGCCGCAAATTGAAAACTGGGCCCAGAAATAGAAACAAGAAAAGCAGCATTTTACCTAGCGGGTTTCCGGCCGTACGAAATGATGCAAAGACGGACTGCACTGTCTGGGCGATGCCGGGCAACTCATTTATTTTGGAGCGAACAGAGGCAACGCAACTCCCAGAATTCCAATTGTCACCCGGCAATTTAGTCTCAAGATCCAAGGCGAAAATTAAATGAAGATACATACCCGGATGAAGGTGGCTATGAATTTTAGGCATAGACTATGTATTTTTATCAGCAGTATCTCTTACGTAATCCCTCAACGTGACGAAAAAAGCGTCATCCTAAAATTATTCCTTTTCCTTCTTTTCCTTCTCTGACTTCTTTTTCTCTACTGTATTTAAGGCTACGTCGGCTGCATTTGCGTTGCTTTGCTTCAATGCGGGATAATATTTATGACACAAAAAAATCCACAATAAAACAAAAAACGCCGAAAAATGAGGCCTGATTAAAATTACAACTAACTGAAATAATGCACAGGAGTATTTGAAATGGCCGATGAGCCCCGGGCTTACTTTCCGATTTTCCGGAACGTTGACCTTCTTGACATCCCTGTTGCAGCCGTATTGCTGAAGTTCAAAGCCAGCAGATCGTTTTACCCTGATGCGCTGGCAAGGCAGTGCTCCTCCACCTATATTAATGTTGCCAAAGGGACCATTAGATTACCTGCCGGCGGATCCCGATCATCTTCTGGCCTTCGTTTCCTAGAGTTAGAAGGGTCGGGTTGGTCGGTCCCTCGTGTGGTCAAGCCTGATAGCTCGGGTAAGCTTGCTAAAGGGCCAAAAGAATAAGTGAAAAACATAATCTTCTTGAGCTCGGCCCAATGTTCCTTCCATCCCTCCTCTGGTTCCTTGTTGGCTTCGGCTCTGTTAGGCTCTAAAGGTACTGTGAAGTCAGAGGCAGTTGAAACATACCCGGATGCGGATTATCAGCCGCCTTTTGCGCACCTAAACTATGTGGTCATGTTTTGGAGGATAGTTCAGGATGCTACTATATATAAAAAAATAATAGTGTCGGTGTGTTTGCCACTTTGCATGCAACTTCCGTCAGGTAGTTCCAGTCGTATCTCAAGAAGGAAAGTCGTTAGGGGCCTGTTTGATACGTCATTAGGAACGTACTAATGGTCTGGAGATGACTGAACGCATATCAGATATACCAAAATCCCTTATTTTTCACATTAAATTTTAGTCTTTGTTGTAAAATTCTTCGCGGTTTTCCTTTGAAGGTAAAAGAATATACTCGGCAAACCCTATACTCAAAGCGGGCGGCGAGATCCCCATTGCTGTGCGAGAAAAGCCGAAAAGTTTGGGTGAACCCAAAATTATGTCCAGCAGTGTATATAAAGGAGCAGAGAACGCATTTTTCACTTTTTTTTCAGAATCGGTGGGCCGAATTATGCAAAGTGTATACTTGGTCTAACATGGGGCCAGGGTTGAAAAGTCGCGAAGCGGCTTTTCAACCCTGGTAAGTATCTAAAAATCTTACGCGCTTCCCGCAGTCTCTGAAACTGTAGTTGCTGCGCCCTAGCATACTCTTCAGAGTTCGCTGGTAGTGGACGTCTAACAGAACACTACGTTCGCAGCTGGACAGTTTGGATCTCCTACCCGTCCTCTCCTGATAGGCCCTCTCACGATCCGTCGGAAAGCGAGGAGGCACAAAATTTGGAGGGCGACGTGGATTCGTGGGATCTTCGTCTAAATATCCAAGGGTACGATTTTTGCTTTTTCTTACTATTTCTAGATCTATAAACAATACAAATGCAGAAAAACAAAAAAAATGGCTCTTCTCGGCAAAAATTATCCGCGTCAAAATAGTTTTCCAGGTTTTCAGATAGTTTAGATACTCGTTTTTTAGTTTTCTCCTGCTGCAAGAGTCGAGTTCGTGCGTTTACATTACTCTTTTCTAATTGACGCTGTTATTTACGTCCTTTTTAAAGCATTGAACCCATGCAAGCAGGGGCGTAGCCAGAAAAAAATTTCGGGAAGGCCCAAAAATTTTTTCCAAAAAACTCAAAAAATTGCCGAAAAAACAGCGAGCAACAAACAACAGGCAAAAATTTTTGAAAAAAAGGTCGCATAGCTCTAGAAATAGCCGTAAAACGTGAAAAAATAGCGCCGCAGGTAGCAAAATTTTTGATAAAATAAAAATCATAAGGGTCCCACTTTCGGGCCCGGCCGATTTCGGGCTATATACGCTACGTCCCTGCATGCAAGTCTGAAAACTGCGAGGCAAAGATCGGAAACTTAATTGTTTTTAGAAAGCCCACCCGCCGCCGCATCCAACGTTCCGAAACGTGCCGGGTATCCGATCTGCCAGAGGCCCGGCAATACTGCAAAAATCATTTTAAATAGGGTTCAATCAGGAAAAAAGAACTTTTGCAACGACGTACCCTCGTCCCCATCGGCAAACCAGTCCTCTGGATACTGATGATTGTCGCGTTCTGTAAAATTCAAAGCTTTCCCGGGTGCGACTTCTCAATAAAAAAAAAATAGAAATTGCCTGGCGGGAAGCAAAAGCTCACCCCCGAATGGTCCATTAAACGGGTCATCAGGGAATGCTTCGCCGAGTTCTAAATCGAATCTCAATAGCCAAATACTTATCGAAGATACCAGGTTCCTGATTTCTCCGGCGCTCTTGTGGGTGTCGCAAATTGGTAACGGCTCCCAGGAATAAGAATGGGAATAGGAGCATCTTGCCTGGAGGGTTTCCAGGACTACGAAACGACGCCAAGAACGTTGAATTTCACGTTACTTGCTGAGGCACTAATTTATTCTGCAGCGCGCCGAGCCAGCCAAGGCCCAGAATTCTGATCCCCGCACTGCCAATGGGGGCCCAAAATTCAAAAGGAAAATCAGTCAAACCGCTTTTTAAGCTTAATATTAATATATCGTGCTAATTTCTGCAGCCAATATATCTCCAGGTTTTTCAGCGCTTCCATACTTTTTTACTCTAAAACCAGGGTTGAAAAGCCGCTTCGCGACTTTTCAACCCTGGCCCCGTCTGACCCCATTTTATCCTCCACTTTGCATAACTGTCCTAAATTCGGATGACACAAATTGAAAAACTACCTGTTGAGCCCCTTTATATAGTCGAATCCCCACTTCCGGTCTACGCTAATTGTTCCTAGCAAAGAGGTTTTTACAAAAACTTAAATTTAATGTCGAAAATAGGTGATTTTGTTAAACCTGATATGCGTGCAGTCATCTCCAGGCCATTACGCATCTAATGCCGTATCATACATACCTTAAAATTCATCCCCTATCGAGATATCCTCCGGACAGACATCCGGAAGAGGATGCAAAGTGGCACACACACACACACAGACACTATTTTTTTTATACTACAGTGTGTGCCAAAATGATAGGGGAATGAAGTTTTTTGTCGATTTCTTTGCGATGCTGCATGTAGCTGTAAAACCGAATGACAGGTTTTGTAGTCCGGAAAAACGCGCATCTTTTGGTCTACTTGAAATACTTCTACGATACAGGATAACAGTTTTACAAGCGGTTGAATAAAAATAGGGGAAAAACACAAGTGACAAAATGATAGGGGAATCATTAACATATCGTTAGCATCAACTCTCAGTATGAATATTAGATGCTAATTAGATGCAAATTTTGACGGACCACTTCCTGTCGGAATTTTGGCCAGCAATTACGCTTTTTACATCTTCTCCTGCAATGAATCTGTAATTAAAATCAATCAACATCCACTATTCATACAGAAAGTTCATGGAAATACTATGTTAATGATTCCCCTATCATTTTGTCACTTGTGTTTTTTTCCCTATTTTTATACAATCGCTTCTAAAAACGCGATCTTTTATCGTAAAGAGAATTCAAGTAAACCAAAAGATGCGTCTTTTCTCGGGCTATGAGGCCTATTATTTGGTTGTACACGGAGATGGGGGACGGCCGAGAAAACGGCTAAAAACTCCATTACCCTATCATTTTGGCACACACTGTATATAGTAGGATAGTAGGATCACGGTTACAGAATTTGGAAAGTTCTAACAAATTGCGGCAAAGGCAGCAGCGAAAATGGGTTTGGAAAGCAGGTGTACAGGGTATTTGCTATAACGGCTTTTCCCATGTTGTTTGATAAAAAAACCCTCCTTCGGTCTACTGCGGTTCATCGGCCCATGGCTCTTCCTCAATTTTGCCTTCGCCGATGGCATGCCGACAACCGACCGGAAGTCGTTCGCGTGATACTCAGGGGGTAAAGCGCGGAGAAACCGAGACAGTGGGTTCCATTTCCCAGATTTAGTGTGGCTTCTCAACCTCAGGATTCCATGTTTTTGAGTTTAGGCTTCTCTTTATAGCGTCTTAACAAGACAACCAGATTTTAACGGTTTACGGCTTAAAACTATGCGCAAGGAGGAGTTTTTACATTCAGTTAGAGTTTTGCGATCCGTGCACAAAGTAGCCATCAGCACTTGAAATTTTGAGCAATACCCATCTTTCAAAAACTGCTGAAAGATCGCGCGTTCGAGAAAAAGTTTTTCAACTTTAATTTTTATCCAGCGCGGGGGCAAATGGGCGAAATCGGGCCTTCGGCGCGAATTTTCTCGAAAATCGTAGTCGGATAGCCGTTTTTGCGGAATGGGATTTGTTCAGAATTTCAAGTTCTATCAAATGAGACATGTATCTATTACATCTCAAAAGTCCAAAAGGCACCGAAAAACGATCCTTTGTAAGTTAAAGCCAAAGCTAAGCCTCAGCCCCTTTCGTGCAAACGTTTTAAGTAACTGCAGTAATTTGCTAGGTTCTGCTCTTTCCGAGACAATTGCGATCCCTTCCCCAGGGTTCCAACCAGCATCAGCACTCCGGGCTCACTGGCCGCCAACAAAGGACCAATCTTAGCCACCCCCAACTTTGCCAGTCTGCCTTGGGCCGGCTGAAAAAGAACGGCACACCAGAAGCCCACCCCAGAAGTGGAAGACCAAGCTCGCCCAGAGGCCACCGCTGTACTCAATACTGCCAACACCAAAAAGCTACACCAAAAACGCGCCGGCTGGCTCCCTCGGGCTTCCCACAAAATTTTGCCAGAATGGGATGATGAATGGCGGGACGGGCGGCGGAACACCGCAAGAATAGCAGCGTGGAGCCGCGGAAGTTGAGCATTGCGGGAGGAGGGGTGAGATTTTAAGGATTTTTTTTATTAAATTTTCATAGCTGAACTGGTTTTTTAATTTAAGGGTCAATCAATCAATTTTTTAAGGTGTCCGGAAATGCCCTAGTCTCAAAAAAACCCTTCAGATTCCGTCAAAATCGATGAGTTAATTATGCCGCGAGAACTACCGAAGGGCAATGTATTGGCCTTGCTGAACACGTTGTACACCTCGGGATTTGCGAGTGTTAGCCCCAATCAACCGATGTTGACAGGTACGTAAGGTTTCTTCAGCGAAGTCTAAGCGGACGCCAAGCCAAACCTAAGCCTAAGCTTAACCTAAGCTTAAGCCTAAGGTTAAGCACAAGCCAAATCTCGAAACCCCAAGCCCTTCTCTTTCTATCTGCTTTCTCTCACGTTCCTAACCACTCCCGAGGCGCTAACCAAATTGTCTTGCTTCGCGTACTTACGATGAGCGGAGTCTTCAGACGAAAAACAAACCCGAAAGCCCTCCCCGACTTTCCTATCCACACTAGAGATGTTATTATTCAACTAAGATATGCAACCAACGTTCTCTCGCACTAAGGTTCGCCGAATGCCAGATCTTCCCTTATCCAATTCCGGATTAGCTTCAACCAAATCAGCAAAATCTTATTCAGATAGGCGCGTTTTTAGCTCGAATTGAAGCCGAGCTTAGTCGAATAACATGCTAATGAGGATTTTGACGAGGAATTGCCATGAAAAAATGGAAATACCCGGAAATTCTGTTGATGGAAATCTCACTTTGCCAAATTTTAGCAAAGCAAAGTCAGGAATGAACTTATTCGACTAAGATTCGACTAATTCAATCTAAGGTTAGTCGAATTACGGATCTCTTATCCAGATTCGGATGTCCCTAATCGACAAAGGGCGCTGATTTGAACATGAATGAGCCGAATCGACTTAGTTGAATTTCCGGTTTAGTCGTATCTGGAATAAAAACATCTTTAATCCACACCCTCATGCC